TCGAGAAGTGTTGTAAATCAGAGGTACACAGTGGATACTGAAAAAAAAAACAAGAAGCTCTTAGAAAAGTTTAGAAAACACAAAATTTTACCAAAATTAATAACACCAAAGCTTACGACTTTTGAACACTTCACACAGCTGCTTTTTCAATGAAAATAAGTCATGAATTTACTTTGTGTCATAGACCAGTTGCAAAAATATTTTGTTAAAAAGCACTCCGATTATTTTCACAAGTACTCAGAAGCTGATAAAATTAAAAAAAAAAGATGCTTGAGTTTCTGATTGACATTGATTTTTTTTTTTAATAGTTCAGGTCTACCAATAATCTGTTGGAATTCCGATGGGTAACAACTGTGCCAGTTTTAGAAGACTTATTTTCTGTTCAGATGAAACAGAATTTGTTCAAAAACAAATAAATGAGAAGAAAATAATTGTGGCTTTCAGCTTGGCGTTCAGATATATTGACGACGTATTATCAACCAACAATTCGCATCTGTTTCACATCTGGATACTTCATTAGCAAAATACATCATTGATAATTTAGAACCATTTCAGTAAGGCGTGGCATTCTCGGCGCTACGATATTAGGGTCTGTCAAATGGCGAATAGATTCTCATAAGAAATTAATGACATCAGGAACTTTAAATTGTTGTTGACAACGATGAGACGACCTATGCTCCACCTCTTTGTCGGAAGAAACAATCTTATTGGTTATTCTGTACACTAATTGGCATTTGTCCGAATTTCTATCCCATGTATATTTCAACAGTGAAGGAAAGCTGTGTAAAGTTCAGAAGCTAATTATGTAACGCCGAGAATGCCACGCCTTACTGAAAATCCAAGCTTAGCTGGAAATGGTTCTAACAGCGAAACTTTATGATAGACTACGTGATTTAAATTTTTCTATCATCAACTTCTCTTATTTAGCAATCCTTATTACGTGTATATGGAGTTTTTCTCTCCCAGTTGATAGAGCATCTCTACGTACAAACAATTTCTAAAACGAGGCAAGCTATAGACAAACAAGTTGATGAAACAAGGATATCAATTGTCTCATTTGAAGTCATCATTTATTTTGCAAGTTTTATGGTCGATACAGTGATCTTGTTAGTAAATACAGCCTATCCTCAAGTTAAATAATGACTGACGCATTTCATACTTATTTTGCCATTATTTACACCCTGAATTTTCTACGGATTTTCCCGTTTATCCCGATTTTAACAAGGAGCACAACAAGTTTTTTCCTCATTCTCATTCAGAAGTTTTTATATAAATTCTGCTTCACATGAATACGAAAATAGGTCTGCTAATAACGAGCGCAATGGGTGCCCATGGGAATTTCAACAGATTGTTTGAAGACCATGCCCGACTACATAGATATTGTCAATTATAAAACTCAAGCATAGTTTTAACATCAACTTCAGAGCTTCTGTTTTTTTTAACTTTCCTTATTTTCACATAGTTATATAAAGATACACAAATGATTCCAATTTGATGCGAAAAGTTTTGACCCTTTAAAAAGAGAGATTGTAGTTTTATTTGAAAACGTTAGTCAATTGTTATTAATTTTAGTTACATGAATTTCTTTGTCTTTAATTGATTAAAAATTTATAACCTAATCTACTGTTTTTCAATACTTTTAAGAAGCAGAAATGGAAGTACATGTATTCATAAGTCGCCGTTCAAAAAATGATGTACCGTTATACAATACCGGTATATGAGGAGACAAGAAAGTTTGTCCTTTAAAAAATTCTTACAAATACATTATAATTAAATTGTGGAATTCGATAAAATTGCATTAGGAAAGTTCTTAATAAATACTAGTATTTGAAATTTTATTGATTAAAAACGAATTTCTATTAAACATTATTATTATATTTAATTCAGTACGAACTGCATGGCTTAAGGAACTGCATGGTTTAAATTGTTCAAAGTGATCGGAATGGTTTGGTAAGGATTTATGCATTACGTTTTAATCAAACTAGTATAAATTGTACCAACCGAAGGCATCTTTTTCATTCATGAGTATAATTCAAAAGTTGAACAGAGCATATTTTAAATATACTCAGTAATGTATCAAGGTAAAAAAAAAACCCTTTATATTAATTTACCCACAGTTTATGATAATTTGACTGAAGGAAAACAAGCAGAGTTGGAAAGACAGAACTATGAAAGGCCTGCGAAAGAAGAAAAAGGAATCCTCTGAATATTTGATATTTACATCATTCACACGTGTTCATAATTAAGCCATTAGCTTAAACACTCTGTCCACCGAGTTAAGTTAGAAATGTTTTCCCCTCAGGTGCCTCCTGTCTGTCCCTTTGTCCCCTTTTCTCCCTTCTCGCCCTTCTCTCCGGCGGTTCCCGTGTCCCCTTTAGTCCCCGGTTCACCTTTCTGTCCCTCGGCTCCTGCCTCACCCTTCGCCCCAGCCGCTCCTGCAGCACCTGTAAGTCCGACGTCTCCCTGCTGTCCTTTTGTGCCGGGCTCCCCCTTATCCGACACCCCTGTATCTCCTTTACTCCCCGCGGAACCAGCCGTACCAGTGGCCCCTTTAGCTCCCTGTTCCCCCGTATCACCCTTTGTTCCTGATGCTCCTTGGTCTCCTTTCTGTCCGGTAGCGCCCTGTGAACCTTGGGGACCCTTATCACCGTTGACCCCTAGATCCCCCTTGGCACCTTGGTTACCCTGAGTTCCAGTGGTCCCTTTGGTACCGGTGTCCCCCTGTTGTCCTGCAGCCCCAGGCTCGCCCTTCATTCCTAAATAGATGAAATTATCTTAAATGAATTGACAGTTGGACAATTGTAACGAGAAAAAAAAATACATGTATGTCGAATGTTGAATTATAAATAGAAAGGCCCACAACTACTAGTAACTTTTATTCTCATATTTAAATAATTTATTGGATAAACAATAGGTTTTAAAAGAGCCACAAAAATTCTGAAAAGATCGTGGAATATTTTATTTTGAAAACGCTAATACAAAAACACGTTTTTAACATTGAAACAAATATTTAAGCCCAAAACCTCTCTAGTTCATGTAACATATTTTCATTTTGTAGAAATATTAGTTAATTTACAAAATCACTCAAACATGTACATGTATGTAAACTTTCCGTACCTTTACCGAGGACTGAGATGAGGTGTTTTAGGTGTTTCAGTTGTTTGTGTAGATAGTGGTACTGATATGACAATCTATAGGAATACCGCCTCCATCCCGTCGTCTCGGGGATCAAGACCACGCCCACCGCCACCAATAACAACAACTTCATATTCATCCTGCTACATGATGAAATAAAAGAAAATAAACTGATCATTCATAAAAATTCATTGCATTACTTGTAAATTGAAAGATAGTGAAATACCAATCGTCATTTCAGGTCCAAAAACAACTTGTCGAAAAAGTAAGGATAAATAAAATTTATTGAAAATAAACTTGAGCTCTTAATGGCATTAAAAATAAAAAAAATAGCAACAAAACTGGAAAAAAGTCTTAATAGATAACACCAATCCAACAGAAAAACAATGCCAATACATGTACATACACTTTATATGATCTACATGTATATCCATCACTCACGCCATCATATCTCACCTTATATTGATTTGTAAGAAAACCCTAAACGTTGCTTACATTCGTTCAGAGTTGTACACAATTCCTTCTAGGAAATGTTTTCTTATATATAGCAATCTTTGTCTTAACCACGAAGTGACCAAGTCCTCTATATATATCCTTTTGAAGTCAGTTTTGGAGTACACTACTGCTATGACGCAGCTTTCATTCACCGCGTCGTGAGATCTGGTCTTCTCCGTATCCTGATATTTAGGAATAGAAAACACGGACAACATCCTAGAGAATTTAATCACAGTTTAACGTCCTTTGGTGTATGCAAACAGCTAGATGAAACTGGAAAACATTGTTCTTCTCAGAAATTTCTGAATTCTCTAAATCAGACACTTCATTTTACAATTTTAATTTTCATGAAATACATAAAATGATTATCAGCGGATTTTGGATGTACAATAGTTATACTCATATGATGCCAGCAAATGCATCTTTTTCATTGTTTTGAACATTCAAAATGATAAATTATCCTATATATATCTCTTTACAAATATTAAACCAAATGAAGAATTAGGTTTTGTCTTTCATGTACCCTGAAGTGGACATTAAAAAGGTGCATGCTGGAGTTTCTGATTGACAATATCTATGTGGTTTTTAGAGACCAGGTCTTCCAACAATCAATTGGAATTCCCATGGGTACCAACATTGCGCACATTTATTAGCATACCTAGTTTTGTATTCATATGAAGCAGAATTTGTCCAAAATCTTATACGTGAAATGAAGAAAACACTTGCTGTGGCCTTCAACTCGACATCTAGATATATCGACGACGTATTGTCAATCACTAATGGTAATTTCCATTCTTTTGTCGATACGATATATCCCGTGAGCTTGAGATAAAAGATACCACAGAGTCTGGCACGTTTCATATTTGGATATTTTACTTGAAAAAGACGTTAAGGGTAATTTAACTACAGCTCTAGCTTTATGATAAATGTGATTACTTTAAATTTTCAATCGCCAACTCCCCTCACTAATGCAGCAAATAACTTTATCACCTACATACGGGGTATTTAGCTCTCACTCGGTGCGACACGCAAGGGCATGCTCTACGTATGTACAATTCCTAAAACGTGGTAAATTATTGACAAACAAGTTGATGAAACAAGAATATCAGCAGCCTCGTGTAAAGTCATCTTTTCGAAAGGTCTATGGTCGATACAATAACCTTGTCAGCAAATACAATTTATCATTGTGTCAAGTGACGACTGACGTTTTTCATACTAATTATTAGGCCATTTTTTACACACTGAATTGAGACGGATTTTCCCGACATTTTCCTATATGACAAGGAGCACACGGCGTGTGTGACCGTTCGGCTGGGAATGCTCACACTTCCATCGCACCTGATCCCACCTCTTATGTTTTTGAAGTCTTTGTTTACTCTGCTTGCCATGGTATATTGTTTGATGGACTTTTGAGCTTGAATACGTTTCGTTATCTCCATACATTTCATGTAAACTGTACATGTCTTTTTCAGTTCATGACTTGCATAACTGTTTTTTTTTCTGGAAAGTTAAAAACACCAGATGACAAGTGAATTACATGCACAAAATGTATGAGAAATTATCTTTTCTGAAGAAAAAAAAAGATATGACTTAATTGACCTTTGCTCAAGGCACAGAGACTAACATTTCAGTGCTAAACTGTTTGAGAAAACGCTTTTTGTAACGAAATCGGGGGAAAAAAACGAATAGTGATCGAACAAAAAATTCAATAAAATTAATAGCGAGCGCAGCGAGCGTCGCAAAGCGACGCTCGCGAAGCGAGCTCAATAGACTAACGTGTATGAACAGAGGAAATTCGGATTGAAATCTGTACATACGTCAGCCAAATTTCTCTGTGCAACATTCCCAGAATTCCTGCACTACCCAATGTCCTTTGCGCGAATATTGCCGAATAAATAAATAAATAATAACGTAAAGCATATATCAGACTTTCAGTTTGTAGAAATCTTTCAAAGAAACAAGAAATAACTCTGCAATGTTTTTCGACAAAAGTTGCACTAAGTTCTATAGTTTCAAACAGACGCTCGGCTGTCTCCGTAAGCTCCGACGAGCTTTGTGACGTCGTATGAAAATTCGAAGTGGCTGAAAATTAAACTGCGCTCGCCCGAACGGTCACACCGTAAAACATATTATTGAAAATATGCATGAAACACAAGCCCTTGAAATTTCAAAGGTGAAATCAGTTGCCAAGGAGTAGTAAGCATCCCTTGTCTACCAGTTATGCCCGCCGTGAGCCTTAAGTATTGATCATGCAGGTAGATTTGTTCCGGAAAAAAGTATATAATCAAAGGCCTAACAATTGGTTTGTCATCAAAAATAGGACCCACTGATGTTTATATTTGCGAACAAGATAATATCAGCGATCAAAAAAAAAAATTTAAAAAAATACGAACGCTGTTTTAAACGATATGTTTGAAATCCCCTAACAAAATAACTAGAATCTGTATTTTAATTAAAAACTATTGTAATATTATAGCAATCTGTGTCGGTCTTAAAAATGATCATTAAAAACACCATATGCATAAGTATCTGATTAACAATATCTATGTGGTTTTTGGAGACCAGGTCTTCCATGCAATAATCAACTGGAATTCTCATGGGTACCAATTGAGCTCCGTTATTAGCATAGCTATTTTTGTATTCATATGAAGCAGAATTTTTCCAAAATCTTATACATGAAAAGAGGAAAACACTTGCTGTGGCCTTCAACTCGACATTTTAATACATGTAGATATATCGACGACGTATTGTCAATTAACAATGGTTATTTCCATTCTTTTGTCGATATGATATATCCCGGTGAGCTCAGATGAGATCATATACCACAGAATCTGACACATCTAGATCTACGTATTTCATATTTGGATATTTTACTTGAAAAAGACGTCAATGGTTATCTAGCAACCATGTTTTATGATAAACTTGATGACTTGAACCTTTCAATCGTCAACTTACCTTACTTATGCAGCAAAATACCTTCATCACCTGCATATGGGGCCTATATCTCTCAGTTAATTCGATCCGCAAAGAGCATGTATTTGTATGTACAATTCTAAAACGATGTAAATTATTTACAAACAAGTTTATGAAACAAGAACAAGAATATCTGCAGTCTCGTTTGGAGTCATCATTTCGTAAGTTCTATGGTCGATACAATGACCTTGTCAGCAAATACGATTTATCATTGAGTCATACTTATTGTTAGGCCATTATTTACACACTGAATTGAAGTCGGTTTTTTCTGCAATTTTCCGATTATGACAAGGAGCACAAGGCGGATGTCATTCTGTGACCGATCAGCAGGGGATGCTCACTCCTCCATTGCACCTGAATTCACCTCTGTTGCTTCTTAGGTCCGTGTTTTTTCCGCTCCTATTCTATAGTGTTTTATAGACTTTTTGAGTTTGAATACTGTTCGTTGTCTCCATATATTTCATGCAAGTGGTAGTTCAAAATGACCATTTGTATATTCTTTAAATAAGGAAATTTAACGATGGAAAAGTTTAAATCATTGCAAGGCAAGAGACCAGATCATTGTATTTACCATAGAAATTGCGAAATGCTGGTTTCAAACGAGAATGTTGATATCCTTTTATCATGAACTTATTGAAATGAAATATATGGGGTCCGAGTGTTTCCCTTAGCAAAACAAGGACACTGCCATTCTTTTTATAACACTGATCTTCATGTCCACCAATCTGACCCACAGTGAACCCTAGCTAACTAGATGGAATAATCCGCAGTTAAATTACAATGGCCTTACAATTGGCGTGTAATATACTGGTCAAAACAAACACTTAAGTATTTGCGAACAAGGTCATCATATCGACCAACGAATCTTCAAGATGTTTGATGAACTCTCGGTAATTTCAACTTATTTTTCAGTAACCTGCCTCTGGTTTTTGAAGACCTCTACGTATGAACAATTTCTAAAACGAGGTAAATTAATGGTTATCCAACTTATACTCATACTACCCTTTCTAGGGAAGAAATTCTTCAAAATCATATGTCAGTTTAAAATATTTTAATATTCCACAGAGTCAAAATGAATTTGAACTACCCTATATATATTGGATTCCAAAACTTCATAAAAATCCTTACAAACAAAGATACATTGCGGGTTCCAGTAAATAATCAACCAAATCTCTTTCGTTGCTCCTCACTAAGATATTGACAGTAGTGAAGGAAAAACTTCAAGAGTACTGTGCAACAATATATTCAAGAAGTGGTGTAAATCAGACGTAGATACTCAAAAATTCAAAAGAACTTTTAGACAATTTGAAATCACAAGATTTTACCAAAATCAACAGCTTAAAAACTTGCGACTTTTCAACTTTATACACAACCATTCCCCACGATAAATTAAAGTCCAGGATTTTTGATATCATTGACAGCTGCTTTTTCAATAAAAATGGAACTTGTAAATTTACTTACCTGGTCATTGGTCATTTACAAAATAATTTTGTTAAAACACAGACAAGTACTCTGAAGTTGACATCAAAGAAATTCTTGAATTTCTGATTGGCAATATCTACGTGGTTTTTGGAGACCAGGTATTCCAACAATCTATTGGAATTCCCATGGGTACAAATTGCGCTCCGTTATTAGCAGACCTATTTTTGTATTCATATGAAGCAGAATTTGTGCAAAATCTTATGCGTGAAAAGAAGAAACCACTTGCTGTGGCCTTCAACTCGACATTTAGATATATCGACGACGTATTGTCTATTAACAATAGTAATTTCCATTTCTACGTTGACACGATATATCCTGGTGAGCTTGAGATAAAAGATACCACAGAGTCTGACACATCTGTTTCATACCTGGATATTTTACTTGAAAAAGACGTTAATTGTTATCTACTCAATAACAACCAAGCTATATGATAAACGGGATGACTTTAACTTTTCTATCGTCAACTTTCCTTACTTATGCAGCAATATATCTTCATCACCTACATACGGAGTATATATATCTCAGTTGATTCGTTACGCAAGAGCATGCTCTACGTATGAACAATTCCTAAAACGAGGTAAATTATTGACAAGCAAGTTGATGAAACAAGAATATCAGCAGTCTCGTTTAAAGTCAACATTTCGTAAGTTCTATGGTCGATACATTGACCTTGTCAGCAAATACAATTTATCATTGAGTCAAATGCTGACTGACGTTTTTCATACCAATTGTTTGTCCATTATTTATACACTGAATTGACGACGGACTTTTCCGTTATTTCCTGATCATGACAAGGAGCACACGGCGGGTGTGACCGGTCAGCAAGGGATGCTCACTCCTCCATGGTACCTGATCCCATCTCCGATGTTTGAGAGGTCTGTGTTTGCTCTGCTCCTATTTTGTATTGTTTTATGGACTTTTGAGCTTGAATACTGTGCGTTATCTCCATATCTTTTTGTTTAAAAAGGATCGTACTCAGAGCTTGTTCTCGAATTTTGAGATATTTGGAATATATAGATATCATATGCATGTAATATTGTGCATAAACTAGAGGGTATTGTGAGCAACGAGCTCACTAAATGATAACCCCCCCCCCCTACACACACACCTCTTCTATGATTGTAATGCCAAAGTCCATGTTTTGCTGTGGAAGACCCGAAATAAGTGACATGCAGGTCAAAAGGTAAAATATGAGGCGCACAGTGGCATTGTCATGATTGTGTAGTAAAGAATCTGTGAAAATATCTTAATATTTTATTCAGTGGTATAGGAGGCGTTAAGGATAAAAGATGATTTACCCTATTATTATCTGCTAAGCGCCGGGTCCCATCTTTTGAATTTCTAAGGAGTCCGTGCTTTTCTGTCCTATTTTCAAAGCGTATTGTTTGTAATTTTATATAAGGTTAATAAGTGTGCGTTACCTGCACCCTTATAATATCTTGGTGTGATATTTACCAAAATTTGCCTTTTGCAATCATATTGAAATCAAGAAAAACCAATTAAAGTTTTAATATGAATATTTTAATTCAAACAGTCGCTGATGTAACAATAAGTGTTTTAATACTCCTGCAATTCTCATCCAAACTTTAGATACAAATCAACAAAGCTATCGTCTCTTATAGGAGTTCTTTTTATAAATATGTCCTCAAATTTTAAGATATGATAACGTGAGTCGTTTATTAAATGCTTACTTTCAACTTTTTGTCTAGTTAGATCTCAAAGAAAGGAAAAAAAAATAAAAAAAATAATTACTTTCTCATCGTTCATTATGTTTTATTGATTATAATAATATAATGCAACAAAAACGTGCATATACTTTTTTTAAAATTTGAAATACAATGATAAATTAAAAAAGACGTTTTGTATGTCAAATGCATTCTGTTTATTTTCTAAAATGCTCAACACATGATCCAAAAAAGATATAGAAAGAAAGAAATGGGATCTTTTGCATAGTTCCTGACAAGCATGTGTTTTTATAATGTCACTGAGTAAAAGACGCTGATAACAGAATTAAGTAGGAAGTGATCCTCCAGCGTTGCCCTTCTCCCCCTTCGTGCCTTTCTGTCCCTTCTCGCCCTTGTTTGCAGTGGGGCCCGTATCCCCTTTAGACCCGGCGTCACCTTTCTGTGCATTGTCCCCTTTATCCCCCTTGGCCCCAGGTGCTCCTACAGCACCGGCAGGTCCGACGTCTCCTTTCTGTCCGTTTACGCCCGCCTCCCCCTTTTCAGAAGCCCCCTTTTCTCCTTTCGTCCCCGCGGCACCAGTCATTCCAGTGGCCCCCTGGGCTCCTTGTTCTCCCTTATCCCCCTTTGCTCCTGATGCACCTGTCACTCCTTTATCTCCAGCAGGCCCCTGAGAGCCTTGGATCCCCATGTCACCTTTGACCCCAAGAGTTCCCTTGTTGCCTTGGTTACCCTGAGATCCCGTGGTCCCTTGGTCACCCATGTCCCCCTTTTGTCCTGCTGGCCCAGGCTCGCCTTTCAATCCTAAACAAATGATAAACCAAAGTAATATTTAGGAAAAGCATATAAATCATAATTAAAAAAGACTTGAATTTATTAACAGAACATCGTTTATGTGTAAGCAAATACACTTCGAATAGTTTTAGGAAAAATCTGGAATAGTCTTAATAGGGAAAATCTTTTTATACAATAAAGATAAAACTAACATATGTTTAGCTTTGAACACCTTTTTCTTTAATAAAAAAAACTTTTAACTTTGATTGGATGAGTATTAAGTTTTAAACTTGTAAATACCTCTGATATCTTTAAATCATACCTTTACTAAGAAGTAAAACTAAGTGCTTTAGATGTGACACTTTATTGCATAGATTGCGGTAATGTTGATAAAGGCCGTATGATGTATAACGCGTATATCGCGTATACCGCCGCCACCCTGCGATCTCAGGGACCAAGACCACGCCCACCGCCACCAACAGCAACAGTTTCATATTCATCCTGGCTATATGAACATTTAAAAAAAAATAAAGAATATACTGATCAGCTTTAGTTCATTCCAATATTTGTAAATGGAAAAAGAATGCGATTTCAAACATTTTTTCGGGTAAAACAACTTCATTCTTGTCAATAAATAAGAATATATTGTAAGTAAATTATATAGATTGTATACATCTATTTTTTTTTCATATATCTCACCTTAATTTCGGCTGTAGAAAAGCCTTGTGTGTTGCTTACATTGGTTCAGAGTTGTATACTAATCATTCAAGGAAATGTGTTCTTATATATAGCTATCTTTGTCTTAACCACGAAGTGACCGAGGCCTCTATATATATCCTTTTGAAGTCAGTTTTGGAGTACACTACTGCTATGACGCAGCTTTCATTCACCGCGTCGTGAGATCTGATCGTCTCTGTATCCTGATTTTCAGGAATACAAACAGAGAACATGGACAGCGTCATCCTAGAGAATACTGAACTATAAAAACTTGATCTATATACAAACCTCTGCATTAGGACGAACACACACACTCTCTCTCTTTCATTCTTCGTTCAGGAATTTGGTTTTTCATTAAACAAATCATATGGGGTGGTGGGTGGGGTGTACATATAATATGTTTTGATGCAATATTCATACAAATACAATGAAATATACGGAGATAACAAACAGTAGTCCAGCTCACATACACCAGGAGCAGAGCAAACATGGACCTCCAAAACATCAAAGGTAGAATCAGGTGTCATGGAGGAGTGGGCATCCCCTGCCGACCTATCACACCCGCCGTGTGCTCTTTTTCGAGATCAGGGAATAACAAATCCATCGTTTTTCATCAGGGGTATATGACTTGCTATAGACATTATGAAGTGGTTATCAGACCAAAAAAAAAAACCAGAAGTCTCTGTAGAGACTGTAGCTCTACTGGTTTATACAGCAATAGATAGAGAAATGATCCTTGCCGCTCATCAAAATAAAAACCAATGCACAGAATTATGTATCTTAGTATAGTCTACCTGTGTGCCAAGTTATTTTGAAATCGGACAAAAACTGTAGGAGGAGTAGCATTTTGAAAGCATTTCACAGAAATTTCTATTTTTAGTAACCATGGCAACACCGTTCATCGAAATCAAAAACCGATGCATAGAATTATGTATCTTAGTGTAGTCTACTTGTGTGCCAAGTTATATTGAAATCAGACCAAAACTGTAGGAGGAGTAGCATTTTGAAATTAGAAATTTCTATTTTTAGTAACAACGGAAACACCGTTCATCGAAATCAAAAACCGATGCACAGAATTATGTATCTTGTGTAGTCTACTCGTGTGCCAAGTTATATTGAAGTCGGACAAAAACTGTAGGAGGAGTAGCATTTTGAAAGCATTTCACAGAAATTTCTATTTTTAGTAACAACGGCAACACCGCGTTCATCGAAATCAAAAACTGATGCACAGAATTATGTATCTTCATGTAATCTACTTGTGTGCCAAGTTATATTGAAATCTGACCAAAACTGTAGGAGGAGTAGCATTTTGAAAGCATTTTACAGAGATTTCTATTTTTAGTAACAACGGCAACACCGTTCATCGAAATCAAAAACCTATGCACAGAATTATGTATCTTAGTGTAGTCTAATTGTGTGCCAAGTTATATTGAAATCAAACCAAAACTGTAGGAGGAGTAGCATTTTGAAAAATTGTTTACAGACAGACAGACGGACAGACAGACAGACAGACGGACGACGGACGCATTACTATCGCATAAGCTCTTCTGGTCTCTGACCAGTAGAGCTAAAAAAATACGGATGACTTGTGATGAAGTGTATAAGAAATATCTGATTAAAAAAATAACTAAAGCCGCCATATAAAATGAAACGTTATAAGTTTATTAGAATTTTGATCACAGACACAAGAACAAACGGATTTCAAAACAATATTAAATAGGCATAACAAATGGACATCATATTGTAATGGTGTCTTAGTTTTGAACTGGGCCTCAGGATGACTTGTGATGAAGTGTATAAGAAATATCTGATTAAAAAAATAACTAAAGCCGCCATATAAAATGAAACGTTATAAGTTTATTAGAATTTTGATCACAGACACAAGAACAAACGGATTTCAAAACAATATTAAATAGGCATAACAAATGGACATCATATTGTAATGGTGTCTTAGTTTTGAACTGGGCCTCAGCTAACTACCTTTAGTAACCACGTGTGTATTTGTACATACAATTTAACAATTTTAAAATATGATGTTGACAAATACCAGTAAATTCTTAATGTTATACAACTTTTACAGGATTTGATACAGTGATATGATAAAATATACACTAGTTCAAAAAAGAAAAAATAATAATGCATCTTTAAATTAAACACTTGTGAAGAATGCATACTCCTGAGTACTAGACTAGAAACAGGGACATATATAAAAACTATATATACATCCCTACTTAGAACCTGTACTTCATTACCATTTCACTCTGACTCAAATTATTCCTAATTCTAGTTATCAACGATGCTAGGATTATACTGTAAGACTCCAAAATTATTTTCATTATAAGACTTTTTGTTATAAAAATAATTACATGTAAGCAATTTGCATTTCATGTGGTAATGCAATATAAAGTTCATGAATAAAATAACAGATCTTTGACACTACAGAGATAAAATATAACAGAGTATAACTTTTTAAAAAGTTTAAAACTTCAAATATCCTTCATCCCCTAGTATGCTATTCACTTGTATTTTGTATAACTCATTGCATGTAATTTTTGTGTCATTTAAAGCAACTGTGCCCCCCCACCCCCCCCCCACCCCCCCCCAAAAAAAATAAAAAATTAACATTTATTGCTTACATAATAGACCTACAAACAGTTTATTTATACAAAAGTTTGATAAGAAAAAGGTTGTGAAATAATTCCTTTGATCACAAAGTAACCAAGATCACACCTTTGCTGAAATAAAATTCAGAAAGCTTTTCTGCTCGTTAGCTTATAGACTCATACCACAACCCTGTTTTCTCTGCTGTACAAAGATTGTATGTAAGATTATTTCTATGTTACTGAAAAGTTTCTTCTGACACTTGCATCATTTTCATCATATTTATGTTCTTATCAATTAAAAAACTTTTACAATAATGCTAGCATAAAGTTTGTGTTTATAAAACTAAAAATTCTTTCAGGGGAAATATATGCTATTGCATGATGTGTACAGGCATGTAGTATATTTATTGCATTGAACCATCATGAAATCGGGAATGAATGAGGATGAAATGAATAAGCAAGTGAAACTGTATTGCTTTTATAAATCCTCATAGAAATACATAAACGTGTATGTACATGGATTTGGATTTTCATTGGTAAAAAAAGTACAAAATGCAGAATTCTGAAACAATACCAAGTTTAAGTCATTCTATTACATAAAGAGGAAAGAAAAGGATAAATATAATGAGATTCTATAAAATGTATCACAAAATACAGTGTAGACGAATGTCTGGGAAATAAAATAATTGCTTAGGCTTGCACTTGTATGGATTTCACTACTTGACTAGATTTATAAATTTGTACAAAAGCTTTTCAGCAACAATGATATATATAAAGATGATATCACACATTTATATGTATAGAATCTACAGATTTAAATGTATCTTAATGAACATTTATCCAAATACAAACTACAATGTACATCTGTGTACATGTATATATGACAAAATATATATTAAATAAAAATAAAAATTCTAATATTTAAAAAATCAAAAGACTGTATGCAGTAAGCTCTTGTAATGCTGTAACTAAGAAGTTGTTTAAAAGACTAGATTATCTCAACTATTACAACCTATTTCATGAATTGCTTTCATTAATAGTGACACAAAAAATGTCTTCTGGAATAGTTAAAAAAAAATATGCAAGACTGTATGCAGTAAGCTGTTCTTGTAATGCGTTTCTATAATATAATAATTAATTTACTTAACCCAATTTACATGATTATTTATACAGATATAAATACAACCTATTTCATGAATTGCTTTCATTAATATTTACAATGTACATGCTAATGCAGGAAATGCTTTTTTCTGCAACAGCGGCGACATTAATTCCCATACGAATAACCAAGGAAATCATTACATCTTTTAAATAACCATGCAATAACATACACATTTAAAATAATATTCAAAACATGTTTTATAAAATAAAGATTAGCTTAACTCTACAGTAGGTCTGAATGCAGGTACCTTTCAGAATATATCTACACTTTGATGCCTTGTTCATATACATATCAAAATAGTATGTATTGTATCTGAAATAATCATTAGAACTTGCACAGGCATCATACAGATTACGTTTATATGGATATCAATAGACATCCTTAATATGCACAAATTTAAAATGGAATTCATGATCATATGAAAAATAACAATAACAAACAATAACATTATATTGTAGGATTTCATAATGTATTTTTTCGAAAAAAGCCAACTCTGATAAAATATCCTTACACATGTTATAAAAGAGTACACAAAAAAGACAAAAACAAAGAAAAAAATCCATACAATATAAAGGGTTATATTTTGCCTCGCTATAAACCCTGTAAATCCGAAAGAAAAATATTGAAAAACAAAAAAGTTAAAAAATTAAACTTTTTGAATTCATTTCCTTTGCGACCGGAAGTACACTTGCACAACAATTTTTCATGTCCATGAATTTCAATGTCATATCTTTGGCCGTTTAAATTCAAAAATCCATTTAAAAAATACAAATTTCCCCAAAAATGTTTTGAAAAAATGAAATTGTGTGGAGATATTAACCTGGTGCATCTTTCCTGTAAAAATCTTTGAAATCACCCCAGCTTTTAAAATCAAAAAAAGAATAATAATAATAATAATAGAAAACCGACGGAAAACAATAAGGTCTTCCGAAGGAAGTCGGAAGACCTTAATAAACAATAACATTGTATTGAAGGTCTGAGACAAAATCCAACTCTGAAATCTCTACAGATACTCTAACAATACACAGAAAATAAATAATCATCTGAAATGACTAGTCATCAAATTTATCATCAAACTTGATAAATTTCAGACCTTTAGATTTTGTATACATTTACCCTGGATCACATAAATCAAAAATACCGTATTCAGTTTTAAAATAAACTAGAATTGTACAATGTAAGTTGAGTTTGGGATTTTATATCCTATGATGTGTTGAAGAATGCCAATTAAATATAAATTATCTTATGAAGCAATTATTGTACACCAATGTGATCATTGTACATATGTACATGATAATGTAAAAACTAAATACATTACAATGGTTTTAATTTCACCATGTTTATAATATAAAAAAATTACAGCAAACATTCGGCCATTGTGAATATTGTGCACATATCAATGTCTGCATTCACATTTGAAATATGGGTACATCATATATGTGCCATGCACTTAAATACCCTAGTTTCCCTACATAACTTAGAATACTGTAGAAGTACTTTTTTTCCGCATGGTATTGATTTACGCTATGTACGCGGTCACAAATTTGGAAATTTGTCCGAGCGTTCTTAATATACATGAAAGGCATATAGTGACAGCCTAGGAAATCTGCGTAATTTTCTACCTGCGGATTAAACAGAAATTGAGATTCCACAGAATTATGACCCCGTGGAAAAAAAGTACATCTACAGTAGTTGTCAATATTTAAAAAAAAAAGTTTTATCTTAATAACAACAACTTAACTTGACTTTATCCTTGTAAGTTTCAAATGAATAGTTTCTAAAATTGAAAGTATCTTAAACTGAGAAATTTAATGATCACAAAATTAAAAGAACTGTAAAATGTACCAATGATTTTTAAAACAGTCAAACCATGTTATTCTGAACTCGATGGGACCAAGAAAAAATTCAAAATATCTGACAATTCAAAATATTAAGAGTAAAATACTAAAAAAAAATGGGTGGTTTGACCTCCAAATCACTTTGGTATCCATGGTATTTGAAATACCTGTGCTCGAGATACCAACTGTATGTATAAAATAAGAAACATATAGCATATATGTACATGGCATATATGAAAAAAATCTTATTTCAATCATAAACATATCAAAATTATAAATCAAACAGCTTTGTATATAAACTCAAAATGTTTGTTCAAAATTGCTCTTAAAAAGCACCAGTAAATCCCCAAAAAAGAACCCACAGTTTTTCACCATTCAATAACATGGTCACTAAGAAATAACATGTGCTTTAACATAACATTGTGCTTATTATAGAAAGCCACATGGTGTAGAGTTATCTTCCTTTCTACCAGACCTCACACTTTTTCTTGGGATTCATCCTTGAATTAGCTGGACATTTATACTGCTCAGCAAATTCCTTAGAGTTGGATAAAGTTCCTATTACTCTGAAACAAAATATATATACATGTATATAAAACACATTTCATCTCACATGTAATAAGCAATCAAAAGTAATTTCTATGAATTGAAAATTTCAAAAATTATAAATGCAGTTCTTGATATTTTTTATATATGAGACAGCAAGCTGCCCCTGTTCTGTTTAATATACTGATAGAGTTTATTCTATTTCATTTTTTAGTAGTACAAGGTACCATTACTGGCAGAGACAATTAATTTCTCTCCTACTTCTGACTCTGTTACAGACCTACTTAATATTTTACCTGTAGATTGCTGGACTGTGGGGGTCAGTCAGAATCTGTAAATGGTCAGCTTCCTTTGTACTTGCAGAACACCACACCTAAAATACAGTATCAATTTGTTCATTTACTGAAGGACAGCCATATTCTCTGAGTCCCAACAATATAACATATTAATATATGTATATATAAAATATACAACATCAAGTATGAACTCCCCTGATCCTACCATTATACATTTACATCCTTTCCGCTTTGCAGCAAAAGATGTAATATTGGATGAATTTAACCATTATCCTTCAAAATACTGATGTTAGTTCTTCATTTTCCCTTACTAATTATGTCGCCCTGAACGAAGTCGGGACAACATATTGCGATTGTACGCATGTTTTTGTTGTACAAGCTGTTTCTCCGAGATGGCTGGAAAAACATTGCCTGTGTGTGAACTTTCCAAAGGAGGATCACTGGTTGTAGTTGTGTTGTGTGGTCATTCAATAAAATGGCTACTGTTGCCATGGAAACCTGCAAAAAGCTACAAATATAGTCCAAAAATTCTCTCTGGCCTAAACATTCACATGAAATTTTATTGAAGTAATGATTAGTATCTGAAATTGTGCTCATTGGATTTAAAAATTGGAAATTGTCAATAGTTTCCATGGAAACAGCTATATTTTCTAACTATGATTTTTAAATCAAAGCACTGGAATTATAAACAGGGTTAGTAAAACCATCATTAGAAAAACTGTTTGTTCTTAAGTGATTGCACAAAAAATGAAAGTCTTGTCAAAACCTTTCTAAACCTTCAGTAAACATTTTTGTTAACCATTCTGGAATTTTCTCATCCCCATCAACAGCTTTTTAAAAAATGTTATCAATTCCTTCAGTTTTATAACATTTTAATAATTCAGCATTGATGTTGAAAATTTCTTGCCATTCTGTGATAGCCAATAATCATAGGCCTAAAATTAAACACAGAACAAATATAGCCAAAAATCAAAGACCTAAAAGTGAACACAGTACAAATATAGCCAAAAATCAAAGACCTAAAGGTATTAAACACAGTACAAATTTTAAATCTGTAACAATCTGAATGAACAAGAGAAAGCACCACTCACGAAATAATATTTTACTCCATTTTTATATTTTCTGGTGTTGTTTATCCATTTACCTGGAATTAACCAAACATTCGCAAAATATCATCATTAAAAAAACTGTTTGTCCTCTCCCAACTGACTGACTTAATTAAAACCTTTCTAAATCTCCAGGAAACATTTTGTGGTACTTTTGGTTTGAAATTATTCATAGTTTTATTTTAAATGCGTTATTAAATTCATTTCTTTGTAAAATTTGAATTGCTTTCACCGTATTAATAAATATGTTGAAAGTTGAGTCGAAAGAAAGTAGGCCACTGTCATTTAAGAATAATTTACCAAAATTCATTAGAAATATTAGTAGAAAACTTCAATAAAATTCCCATTTAAGAATATGACTTACATGATTTTCGCCCAGTTTATATTGTGAGTACTGGTCAATAACACACTGTGTCCTGTTCTGAAAGTTTATTATGGACTGATTATTCCACCAAGGATGGAGATTTCCATATTTATCAAATTCTCTTCCTATTAAAAAGTAAAAACATTGTCAGTATTAAAAAATTCAAGATGAACATGTTCTTGTGTACCAGTATACGAATACAGCCTTAAATGAGGTCAATACATACACATGTAGAAATACAAACTTCACAGAAAAGCATATCATCCGTTTCTGTGAAGTTGACATACATGTACCTACAAATCGACCAAATGAAATGCAAACATTTGTTATATTACATGTATTAATCTTCCTAGTCAACCTTCATTAAATTACTGTAACATAATTTTTTTTTTCAAAGGAAGATTATCAAAATGTAAAGAAAAATTAACATATGTCCATATGAAATGAATGCCTCAAACAGGATAATTAATAAGGCAATATAAAAATTTTAATTAGTGTATAAAAATCGATGAAAACATCTGAAATACCTTGATCATCAAATCCATGAGTCAGTTCATGCCCCATCACCACTCCCATGGCACCAAAATTCAGTGATCTGTAATTGACATTTCTCTTAAATCTTATTTAGCCTACGTGATGAAAGGTTTTCTTTGACTTGATTTTTACAAAAATTACAATAACTTCATTTTTGTATGGACTAAAATATTTATGTTTGGAAAGGATGTATTTTCTAATGAGTACCCAAGAAGAGGTACATGTATATATAGGAAAAAAGAGTTCAAACAGTCATCCTCCATAGATTCCTGCAAAGCTCTGTCTAAACATTAAAATAATTGTACAGACTTCTAAATGTCTGCTCGACTTACTTGGGATAGTCTATCTCATAAAACGGTGCTTGCAAAATTCCAGCTGGGAAAACAATCTCATTTTTGGTGGGGGTGTAATAAGCATTCACTGTCGGTGGAGTCATATCCCATCTAAAATACAGGACAAAAATCTATAAGACAAAAATCTATAAGTGAGAACTCTTATTCTTTTCCTTTCTTAATGTTGAATTTCTACGTCAAACGAAAATCTGTTTAAAAAGACCCATGAGCAAAAAAACAAAACAAAACAAGATGTGTTTGTGAAACACTATGCGCCCGGCTGCAACAAAGTTCAAAAAACTATTTTTAGCATATAGGTCACAGTCAAGGTCACAAGGTCATTGATCTTAATGTCATTTGAAAGAACTATATTAGTGGAGTATGCGTACAAAAAATGAAGTCTGTATCTCCTACGGTTCAAAAGTTATGGTGAAAGTTCGAAAAAAAACTATTTTTAACATATGTGTTACAGTCAAGGTCACAAGGTCATTGACCCTGGTGTCTTTTGTATGAACTTAATCCGTGAAGTATGCATACCAAATATGAAGTCTCTATCTCTCAAGGTTCAAAAGTTATGGCGAAGGTTTAAGTTGAGAACAGAAAGGCAGAGAAATAGACAAACAGACAAACAAATAAACAGACAAACAGATAAACAGATAAACAGACAGGACAATAGCAACAATATATGCCTCGGATCTATCAATCCAGGCGCATAAAAAACAATCGACTGAGAATTTATTTCTCTTATTCAGGTACACTAAATATACAAATAGCTTTTTCTCCTTAAGAGAACTGTGTTATTTCAAAATACAACAAATTATACTAATTTTAATTTAAACAATATTTATTCAGAAAACTGACAAGATTCTGCCTATAAATACCCTCTCTATACAAGGTCATGGGTAACAAATACAATGAACTGAATTAATATTCATAATACAATATATATTATACTAGTATATATATATATAGTCACCATTACTGGGTTTGTAATGAACAGCTAGTGCTTACTCATTTTTCTTTGGTTTGGACCTCAGGGTCTGCAGGTCTTTCTTGACGGCAAACAAGAAATTCCTGATGTTGTTTTGGAAGTACTCATCTGACGTAACCTCTAACTACAGAAGTGATAACAAGCTGATAAATACCTCAGTGTGTTACATAAAGTACCCTCATACTCTAAGTGACAAGCTGTCCTACTTCCTTGCACTATTAAGTCTGCTGAGATACTCTCATTATAAGTACAATTCAAATCTTTGAACTACACATTCAGTTTTTGACAGGGAAAATATTTTTATCTCAAATTTGATAAGGAATGTACTTCTGCAGTGACAATCACTTGTCAAACATTAATTCTAGATAAATATCAGGAAAACTTACATCTGCGTATTCCTCATTGAGAAGTGAAACATTGTTAATATAAGCAGGAAATCCTATGAGGTCAATCACAGAATTAGCCTGAAAAATAATTATACATGACAGGTATTTTCTTTTGCAAAATCTAAAATAACACATTTTCTTTCAAATCTTCTATAGACTCAATACAACTTTAAAATAGAGCATTCTGATGATCTGATTTTTTCTTTTGTGAAATAATTATCAATTTTCTCTAAATTTCCATTATGTATACCTTATCCTTTGCTGCCTGTCGTGTCTCATCATCCATCCATGAAAGATTTGGAAGATTCTTTTTAAAAGCATCTTTGACCTCATTTACCATTTTTTCTGCCTAATAATGAGAACTAAATAACTTGAACATATTTCTAACCAACATACAAAAAGATTCATCCCTCAAAAGGGCAATAAAAATCCCCATAGGAAACTAAAAAAAATTGTTTCACTTTATTTATACATGTGTCAATGGCAATAAGTCTAACAAGAGGCCCAGGGGCCACATCGCTCACCTGAGCAACTAGCTAGGTAAAAGCAAAAAATCAGTTAAATATTGAAAAATTTAAACATATTATAAAAGTGGGTTCGAGGGAGGAGGGGAAAATTTGAACAAACTTATATCTACGCTTTTTAAGAATGCTTTTGAATTACACTGTAATATGACACATAATGGTTTTGTTGTTTATTGTTATGATCCACTATAATGATGCTTTTAAATTGATGGTCAATCATGGCTACCCCATGGGTCATGATCTGAACAAACTAGGATCTACACTACCAGAGGATGCTTCCATATAACTATGAAGAAGAAGATTTTTAAAGATTTTTCCACTGTATTCCTATGTTAAACCTTGATCCCCCATTGAGGAAGAAGACTTTTAAAGATTTTTCCACTGTATTCATATGTTAAACTTTGATCCCCCATTGTGCCCCATACTCGGGAGGGTCATGATTTGAACAAACTTGAATCTACACTTTCGGAGGATGCTTCCATATAACTTTGACCAATCATGGCTTTGCTGTCTTTGAGAAAAAGATTATTGAAGATTTTTTCCTACGTATTCCTATGTTAAACTTGGATACCCCATTGTGGCCGAAACCTACCCCCGTGGGTAAATAATTTCTTCACTACCAGAGGATGCTTCTATATGAGTTTCATCTTTCCTGGCCCACGGCTTCTTGAGAAGAATTTTTTAAAAGATTTTTCCACTATATTCCTATGTTAAACTTTGATACCCCATTGAAGAAGAAGATTTTTAAAGATTTTTTCCATGTAATCCTACTTTGATCACCCATAATTGCCCCACCCTTGCCCCAGGGGTCATGAGTTGAACTTGAATCTTCACTACCAAAGGATGCTTCAATATAGCTATGACCAATCATGGCTTTGCTGTTCTTGAGAATAAGATTTTTAAAGAGTTTTCCACTGTATTCCTATGTTAAACTTTGATACCCCATTGTGCCCCCTACTCGGGAGGGTCATGATTTGAACAAACTTGAATCTACACTTTCAGAGGATGCTTCCATATAACTTTGACCAATCAAGGCTTTCCTGTCTTTGAGAAAAAGATTATTAAAGATTTTTTCCTACGTATTCCTATGTTAAACTTTGATACCCAATTGTGCCCCAACCTACCCCCAAGAGTCATGATTTGAACAAATTTGAATCTTCACTACCAGAGGATGCTTCTGCATGAGTTTCATCTTTCCTGGCCCACTTTTTCTTGAGAAGAAGATTTTTAAAAGATACCATTAATTTATCACTACATCAAAACTCGATTATAACGAAGTCACTGTGACCTATGAAATTACTTCGCTATATCCGTAATTCGTTATAACCGTATAAGAAATTCATTCACTTTATAAAGCTGGGGAACCAAGATGACTTCGCTATATCCGTAAAAATATATATGTGAAAAGTTTACGACAACGACACAACACCAACGACGACAATAGACAACAGACAAATTTTGATCAGAAAAGCTCACTTGAGCCTTTGGCTCAGGTGAGCTAAAAAGGTTGAAATTGGTTCAGCCTTTCCAGAAAACAAGCTGCCAAGTTAGGTTGAAACTGGTCCAGTAGTTCTGGAGAAGAAGATAAAATTGTGAAAAGTTTACAACGACACACAGCTGATGACAATGATGACGACAGAAAATGGACAAATCTCGATCAGAAAAGCTCTCAAGTCAGGTGAACTAAAAAATTACCCTCTTGTCTCAGAACTGACCTTTTGTTTGCTGTCCCCTTTGAAGGCCTCTCTGACAAACATGGCCCCCAGAGCCATGCCAACCACCCCATCTGTATCTGTAATGCAGTACCTCCACAGCTCCTCACCACCAGTCGTCCCTAAAATTAACAGAAAATATCTCAATATATCTCTTAAATTACAACTTAAATCCCGATCCAAGTGTGCAATCTGTATCCCCTCAAGCTCATCTCCCACTCGACAGATTTAGTGGGTACAATACTGCTAGCAAATTCAAAGATGCTCTTAAATTGTTAAAATTAATCATATAAGGGGGTGGGAGGGGGTGTAAAACCATCTTAAAGCACATTTGAAATCCCATTCATTGAACGTTTCCCATTATTGCTTTGGAAAAATATAAATCTGTCTAAACTATATATATATTTCTTTTCATGATCAACTCTTTAGTCTCCAAGAAAAACTTGCATAACTATTTGAAATACATTATAAATGGAATAATTTATATGTACTACTGTATATAAAGCTGTTGAACAGTACAGTATCTTCTGCTTGAGGAACACAGAATTTAGTGTTGTGTGTGTAATGTACTCTATTTTCTGATTTATAATTTTAAAATTTTTCACCTGATAGTGCCTCTGTCAGAATTTTCTTGGCATTTCTGAATGGCTTTGACAGGTATGATGTCAGAGAACTGACTACATGCCACAGGAGGTAGTTATGTAATGTCCTAAAATAGAGAAATTACACTGACATGCTGGATACTGACAATAGGTCAAATTCATAACAAATCTAATACTAGTCAGTTCCTTAATATGGAAAAAAAAGCATTTTTACAATCTAAAAACATTACTAAGAAATTTATACCTCCTGCCTTTTTCTGTGCTTAACTTTGTGGTGATTAGAGAAGACATTTTTCTGAGGAAGTCAGATGAAAAGGACAGAATGGGTTCTGCTGGAGATAATGTAATGTTTGTCACCAACATCATTTTACTGGAAAACCGGGTCCAATTCAACTAAAAATAAACATCAGAATCAACAGTAAATTCCTGTCTATAGCTAAATAGGGGATGGTTTAAGTAAATTCAGCACTCCATTACACTGCATTACACTTCATCTTTTAGATGAAAATTTGATGAGTTTCCTTCTAACATGGCCCTATTGACCTTTTTAAATAAAGGTCATAAGAAGATCAAGGTCAGGAAAGTGTGACAATTGCTCTAAGCAATATCTTTTTAATGAAATTAGACTTCAAATGGAAATATGTATACACAAAATAGGATAGGGAGAGGGCTAAAATAAGGCTAAAAATTTTGATAAACTTGATAGCTATAACCAAAATACCATTCACATTCTGTGAATAAAATTTTGTATAAATAAAAAAAAAAAAAAACATAAGAAGTTGAATGCCATAGCAATTTCATGACTAGATATAAAGACTATCCAAGGTCATAAGGAAGGCGCAAGGTCTGGTATTGTGATTTTGTGTGACAGTTGGATTTCCTCACTAGGTACTGTGATCTACAGAGAGACAGGTTATAACTATATCTTCATTATTAGATTACTGTGACAAGAGAGAAAAAATATATTTTCATTTGTAGTTTTTTATTTTTTATGGGTACTGTTCAACAGAGAGATATATTTTGTATATCTTCAAATATAAAGATCATTCACCTGTCAGTTACTGTACAAAGAGAGACATGACTTATAACTATATCTTCTTATATCTCGCCTGTCCTGGGTACTGTGATTTACAGAGAGACATGACTTATAACTACCTCCATTATTACATGTATCTCCCACCCCCCTTTCTCCTCATCTCGCCTGTCCTCACTAGGTACTGTGATCTACAGAGAGACATGACTTATAACTATATCTTCATTATTATCTCCCTCCCCCCTTTCTCCTCATCTCGCCTGTCCTCACTGGGTACTGTGATCTACAGAGAGACATGACTTATAACTATATTTTCATTATTATCTCCCCCCCCCCCTTTCTCCTCATCTCGCCTGTCCTCACTGGGTACTGTGATCTACAGAGAGACATGGCTTATAACTATAGCTTCATTATTATCTCCCCCCCTTTCTCCTCACCTCGCCTGTCCTCACTGGGTACTGTGATCTACAGAGAGACATGACTTATAACTATAGCTTCATTATTCTCTCCCCCCCTTTCTCCTCACCTCGCCTGTCCTCACTGGGTACTGTGTTCTACAGAGAGACATGACTTATAACTATAGCTTCATTATTATCTCCCCCCCCCCCTTTCTCCTCATCTCGCCTGTCCTCACTAGGTACTGTGATCTATAGAGAGACATGACTTATAAATAGCTTCAGTATTATCCCCCCTCGCCTGTCCTCACTAGGTATTGTGATCTACAGAGAGACATTTCTCCTCACCTCGCCTGTCCTCACTGGGTACTGTGATCTACCGAGAGACATGACTTATAACTATAGCTTCATTATTTCTCCCCCCCCCCTTTCTCCTCATCTCGCCTGTCCTCACTGGGTACTGTGATCTACAGAGAGACATGACTTATAACTATAGCTTCATTATTATCTCCCACCCCCTTTCTCCTCATCTCACCTGTCCTCACTGGGTACTGTGTTCTACAGAGAGACATGACTTATAACTAAAGCTTCATTATTATCTCCCTCTCCTTGATAAATGACATTGTTCTTAACTTCATAAAGTCAATGATCTCTTAACTGTCCATCACTCCTTGATTCAGTGGATAGGGGGACAGATATAACTGACAAGAAAGCAATCTATAACTGACAAGAAATCAATCTCACTCACATTAGCCAGCTCAGTCTCAAAGGCTATCACGTCCTGCATGTGTTTCCTTGTAATGTTCTCTTCGCCTCCCATCAATACTCCAACCTTTGTCATGTAGTCCAAGTAGGCATCTAATACCTGTACAAAGAAAGGTCAACAAAAATTAATTACAATATAAAGTTTGTGGATAGTGTAATGAGATAAAAAGGGAGATGTTCCTCAAGGGGCATTACTCTTGTATGTTCCTGATTTAAAAAAAAAGAATAATCAATTGTTATTAAAAAGAATAATAAATTTTTGTAGTGGTATTCACAATCTAAAAACTATGTGACTTTGAACCAGTTATTCAGCAACATTGAGATATTTCTGAATTGTTGAATGATATACCCAAACTTGGACTATGGTGAGTATCTACAATACCTTTCTGTCAGATTCATTGAGATAATACTGTCTTTCTGGCAATCCTAAACCTCCCTGGTCAATCTGAAATAAGAACTTAATAATTAAGCTGTATATAAACCCAGAAAACAGAATAATCAATGTGAAAAAAAAAAATGAATGGTTTTAATGACTGACTGAGAAAAGGTATGCATACAACAGTATCATTAGCTAATATAGAAAATTTGTTTGCATCAAAATATACAGTCTAATTTTTTAAAGAGGAGAAATTTGAAGGATCAGACCAAGATTCAAACCTCGGCCTCCTAAATCTCCGGTCAGGTGCCCCAGCAACTAGCTATCTTGTCACAGAGGACAGAACCTGTCTGTACACACATGTCTTTTTTTATTTTGAATGAAGCTTACAACTGCCCTCTGATAACTGATGTTGTATATATTATCTGATTTCTTAATAATCTACAAAGACATATTAAAATACTATCATCTAACTTGTAAAATATTGACTGATGAATTCCTATCATCCACTCCAGCCCAAATAGCAAACAGAACTCCAATCCCGTAGGCCTTGATTTTCTCCACCATTCCCTGGATGTCTAAGACTTTGGTTTCATTCAGCTTTGGCCAGGCCCCAATACCCGCTAGTAGTTCCCTGACTGGCTGGGCTCCCAGCTTCTCTATTGTTTTATTGCGGTCCATACAAGATTCGTAATATTTCTGAGCTTTGATTTCAGCCAAACTTGCTGTTTGGTTCAGTGGTTTTTCTGTGGTGGGGAAAAGAAATTTATAATGTATATTAACTGTGGTTTTAAAGTTTACAGAGATATTATTGAACAACGAAGATTTTATGAAAAGGTGTTGAGAACAAATTCAGATTATAATAGTTACCAATTCTGTTTTTATAGCAAAGAGAATTGCAAAATTAAAAAAAGTGATTTAACTAAAAAAAATATTTTATGCATTACACATTGAGCATGATTGTGGATTGTGCACCTGGTACAGTTAATCAGTAGTTTGAGATGAGCTTAGACTCAGATGAAACTTAATTGTTTCTTATATATATCACAAAATACATTAAATATATGTACAAGGTAGTATAATTTTTGAGACAAGATAGTTGTTTTTAATGATTAAAGGTTAATTGTTAACCTGCTCCAGTTAACTAACTTTGCTAAACTTTCTCATCTTAACATAGTTAAAAGTGTTCCTCATTCACAAGATCTTAACCACCTTCAAGCATTAGTAAACAAATCTTTCCATCCCCGCTCCAAAGCTAGTGTAATTTGATGTCATTTACAATACAATTTAACTTTAATTTGCAGTAAAGCTAACATTAACCCCAGACATACCAATTCAATGTTACATTCTGATTTTATTTTTTTCTTTGGATATAATCTTGCAAATACCTACCATTATCATAAACACCTGCCTAATGTATAAACATCAACAAAGTTATAAGCTAAAACCTTACGTATGACAATGATACATGCATTATCCTTAAAATTATGCATTATTCTAAAAGATTCCAAATAATTTTACATTTCTTGTTAAGCTTATAAAAATAATGTAGAAATTGAAAATTAGACAGATTGACTTACCTATAACCTTTTTTAATACGATTTGATTCTCCTGCCACAGAACATTAAACGTCCCCCAGCGGGAGTGTCCTGAGGGTATGGGGTGACTGTCCACCCAACCCCCACAGGCATACTGATAGAAATCTTCACAGGGGTCAGCGGTGGTGTCCATGGCATTGTAAATGGAGGCCGCCACTGTAACACAGGCTGGGGTGACACACACTGACGGGGGCTTGTGACATGGGGGAGCTGGGTTGGGGGTGGCGGGGGTGGTCGAGGTGGGGCAGTTCTTTGTGTAGTTTGTTTTAATGATGGGAATGATATTTCCACATTCTTTACAAATCTGTACTGAAAGAAGGAAAAAAAGGCTGCTTTTATTCATGAACAGTGCAAGCTGAACATAGGAGTTCAAAGGAATAGTGCTTTCATTATAAGTTTTAAAAATCATGAAAAATTAACACAAGCACCTTTATCTAGTGAATAAACAATCATCTTTGATTAAGCAATCATCTTACAATTTTTGCATACTTTGAGATTTCTCTTATTTTTTCTAAAAGCCATGAAATATATCACAGTTACTGCAGAAAAGCTATTGATTAAGCCATCTTCTTACACTTTTGTTGCTTTGACGCCTCTTGATCAGCCTGGTGAGTGGAGGATTTGGTTGCCAGGACGATGGACATGATGATGACAGTGAGGATCAACAGTAAGCATAGAACGATCAGTATACGCTCCAGCAAGGTCTTACGCTGCCAGGAGAAGATGCTGCTCCGCACCACCACCCCCGTCTCAAAGTTCAGGACCCCTGGGGCGCTGGCTTCCGAGGCCTCATCCTCCTCCTCCAGGTGGGTATGTTTATAACCCTTATTGGACATCTGTAGACAACAAAGACAAATGCATTGTTAAAATAAGAAATTTTTCTCCTTTAGTTCTTCGAAAAAGCATGGAAACTTTTCTTCCAATCATTATAAGCATACCCTCTTGAACATAATTTAATCAAACATAGATATCTGGAATAATGTTTCCAGAAGTGCCCAAATTTAGTTACTGCAGAAATTTAGTTAATTTTGTAAAAATATCGACATAATCAAGAGTACAAAAATTTATAATAGACCATATAGAAAATGTATCAAAGTTTCAAATTTGAACATCAAAGAAAATCTATGATAGTATTTCTTAAATATTTAAAAACAAACTAATTTTTATTGACATTGACTCTATTCAAAATAAGTTAAAAATAAATACCAAAACATGCAGCATTTTTGTTTGTACGTGTTATTTATCCTTATAGACTTAGAGGTAACTTTTCCACTAAATTCTTTATCTATTGCAGAGCGCTCCATACAGCATACTAACACCAACTGTACTAGTTATATTTTATTTACAAAGGACCATAATACTACATGTACCAGCAGGAAAACGGAATCAGTCAACACCCACATTGATCCAGTGAAAACTGCCACCAGCAAACTTATATTGAAAAATATGATACTCTTTGTTCTTTACACATCTCCATCTGTTCTAAGCTAATAATTTAATGTCACTTAATTCCACTGTCACATTGAGCTAATTCAATTGATTGACATTTCTTGTAAACAATGAGTAACTGTGCAACACCTGAATTTACAAGATTCCTATCATCCCTAGTAGTAACTAACCTGATCTACGGAAGCCTGTTTAGGACCTATCAAAATATATATTTGAATTCGATATAACGAATTGTCGAAATTGTTAAAATGAATTAAATTCGTTATAACAATTTTTTGAATTCGTTATAACGAATTTAATTTGTTATAACAGATTTGATAAATTCGTTATAGCAAATTCAAAAATTTGTTAAAACAGATTAAATTTGTTAAAACGAATTCTAAAATTTGTAATAACGAATTAAATTTGTTTAAACAGATTCTAAAATTTGTTAGAACGAATTAAAGTCGTTTAATCAAATTTGAATATTGTGGCCTATGGAAAAGTATTTTTGAATTTGTTATAATGAATTCAAGAAATTTGTATACCAAATTTAATTTGGTATAATGAATTCAAAAATTGTTATAACAAATTTTAGAATCCGTTTGAACGAAATTAATTCGTTATTACAATTTTTTGAATTTTACAACAAAATCAACAAATTTGTTATAACAGATTAAATTCATTATAACAAATTCAAAGAAATTGTTATAACGAATTAAATTCGTTATAACAAATTCGACAATTCGTTATATCGGATTCAAAAATATTTTTCGATAGGTCCTAAATGGGCTTCCGTACTGATCTCTGATACATGGACACTACTGATAATTTTTCAAGATATTATAAATTTCAACTTATTAATACCATTACATGTTCTTAGACAAAAAATCAGCAAGCATTACCAGGGGTTTTACCCAGAAATTATGAAAATTTTTGCAAAAGAAAAATGTACTAAAATTACGAAATAATTAAATTCCAGATATTTTTCCATCAAAATTTGTTTTAGAAAAGGTGTACAAATCCATATATAGACATTAAAAGTATTGCACAGAGGTCATTCATAAAATGGAACTCTTCAACTCCAGGGAAGAACCCAATAAAGATAAAAACTACGTACGTTTCGTATGACCTTAATCACCCATTTGACAAGACTTATATCCAGAAAATCACTGTAACATTCAGAATGACAGCAAATATTTTACTAGTGGCACTTAAAATTTTAGAATGATAATAACTTCATCATTCTTATGACAGTCATTACCTTTATACAGATACAGCAACCATGGACTTTATAGAAAAGATCATTATGTAAGTACATGTAACATAGATATACCGGTACAACATAATAGTACAGAGTGATTCCACTTTTAACCAGGTATCAAGATACCACTTAACATTATAGACAGAAACCATTCCAAAATTCCACCACTGCATACATTATGTAAGAAGACAACCATCACTTACAGCTGCGGTATATAAACCTATACAATATTGTTTTCCTCTAGTAAGTTAGTACAACAGACAGCCTGACTTTAGTGGTCTATTGATGGAACATCATAGAATTAACCTCAGCACCACACTTCCTTCAATTTCAGCAGTGGATTAAAATCGATCAGACATGCTATGGGGCAGTGCTATTATATTTGGTAATAGAGCCTTGGAAATCTTAAAGTCTCTCAATAAAACTAATTATTCTATTCAAAGCTCAGGCCCTACAGATATTGTAGACTTGTATTGACTAGATGACTTCGGGAATTTCAGAGAATTCTATCTGTAATGTGTTTAACAACTTGATAGAAAATTCATTCCCCATTTTCATCTTCTGTCAGACACACAGATGTGAGCACAAAGCAATAGACATTCCAAAGTATTTTTATTTCGTTTTTCTTTTTCAACATAATTACTGTTGTTCAATAGCTGTCAAGTACATGGTGTAGCAAACAGAAAAACAAACACTGAGAGAATTACTGAATACATGTATAATTATTTCCATGAGTATCATCCCACTAGTTTCTGTACACTGCAAACATTCAAATAAACACTGAGATATATTCTTAATATTTTGAAATATGCAATCTGTAATTATTGAACAATATGAGACAAACCAGAAGTCTCTGTCGAGACTGTAGCTCTACTGGTTTGTACTTAGCATTTTAAAGGAATTTCACAGAAAATTCTATTTTTAGTAACCATGGCAACACTGTTCATTGAAATCAAAAACCGATGCACTATTCTATGTATCTTAGTGTAGTCTACTTGTGTGCCAAGTTATATTGAAATCAGACCAAAACTGTAGGAGGAGTAGCGTTTTAAAGGAATTTCACAGAAAATTCTATTTTTAGTAACCATGGCAACACCGTTCATTGAAATCAAAAACCGATGCACTATTCTATGTATCTTAGTGTAGTCTACTTGTGTGCCAAGTTATATTGAAATCAGACCAAAACTGTAGGAGGAGTAGCGTTTTAAAGGAATTTCACAGAAAATTCTATTTTTAGTAACCATGGCAACACCGTTCATTGAAATCAAAAACCGATGCACTATTCTATGTATCTTAGTGTAGTCTACTTGTGTGTCAAGTTATATTGAAATCAGACAAAAACTGTAGGAGGAGTAGCGTTTGAAAGGAATTTCACAGAAAATTCTATTTTTAGTAACAATGGCAACACCGTTCAACGAAATTAAAAACCGATGCACTATTCTATGTATCTTAGTGTAGTCTACTTGTGTGCCAAGTTATATTGAAATCAGACCAAAACTGTAGAAGGAGTAGCATTTTAAAGGAATTTCAGAGAAAATTCTATTTTTAGTAACCATGGCAACACCGTTCATTGAAATTAAAAACCGATGCACTATTCTATGTATCTTACTGTAGTCTACTTGTGTGCCAAGTAATATTGAAATCAGACTAAAAATGTAGGAGGAGTAGCGTTTTAAAGGAATTTCACAGAAAATTCTATTTTTAGTAACCATGGCAACACCGTTCATTGAAATCAAAAACCGATGCACACATGTATCTTAGTGTAGTCTACTTGTGTGTCAAGTTATATTGAAATCAGACAAAAACTGTAGGAGGAGTAGCGTTTGAAAGGAATTTCACAGAAAATTCTATTTTTAGTAACAATGGCAACACCGTTCAACGAAATTAAAAACCGATGCACTATTCTATGTATCTTAGTGTAGTCTACTTGTGTGCCAAGTTATATTGAAATCAGACCAAAACTGTAGAAGGAGTAGCATTTTAAAGGAATTTCAGAGAAAATTCTATTTTTAGTAACCATGGCAACACCGTTCATTGAAATTAAAAACCGATGCACTATTCTATGTATCTTACTGTAGTCTACTTGTGTGCCAAGTTATATTGAAATCAGACCAAAACTGTAGAAGGAGTAGCATTTTAAAGGAATTTCATAGAAAATTCTATTTTTAGTAACCCTGGCAACACCGTTCATCGAAATTAAAAACCGATGCACTATTCTATGTATATATCTACTTGTATGCCAAGTTATATTGAAATCAGACCAAAACTGTAGGAGGAGTAGCGTTTTGAAAAATTGTTTACAGACAGACAATTACTATCGCATAAGCTCTTCTGGTCTCTGACCAGTAGAGTTAATAAAAATTGAAAAATAAAAAATATTTTGCTTTCCAAATCAAGGACTTGAAAGAATCCTCATTATATGTAGTATCAATTTTTACATACAGTACATCAAGTTATGGTCATAATACCTCATCAATGAGAAGAAATGAATTAACTTAAAAATCTGATGATGTGAGGTTTGAGGGTATAATTATTCATTAAGAAACAGTGATTGGGATTTCCATTTCATGCATCAAGATATCAATGTCAGAGATAATATGATAAAGGTTATAATGATGTCATTAAATTAAAAGTATTGTTTCTCAGTTTAAAGAAATGCAATCAAACAAATCAAGAAACCTATAATTAAAAACAAATACAGTATAAAAACTTGGTTATAACAAAGTCACTGGGACCTATGAAATTACTTCGTTATATCCGTAATTTGTTATAACCATATAAGAAATTAATTTAATTTATTTAGCTGGGGATCCAAATTGACTTCGCTATATCCATAAATTCACAATATCTATGTTCATACTAAACGAGTTTTGCTGTTTTCCATCAACTGGTGGGGTGCATGGTTGCTGTATTTGTCCAAAAGAAGGAGGGGTCCAGCCAACCCATACATCTTATTATTCAGCATAAAATTAAATTTGTCATTTCAAGTTTTTTAAATTAATAATTCGATCTTCACATCAAAAAAATGCAAAGTGGGCATACTTTTGACTCCAATGGTCAGTAAGATAGTTAAAGTTTAATTGGTTTAAACCTGAACACCTACACTGTTGACTTTCGCATTTAATGTTGTGTACTCAATGCTGATAACCACACCAACTAAATTCTAAAGAAACATAACAATATTTATTCACTTTCTCCAACATCCCACACAATTACCTCAATCCTGATAACAAAAACTGTACAAAACTGCAAAATCGTGTTTAAAAATCAAATTTTCAAAAAGTTTGGAGATAATTCAGAGGATTATAACACATTCTAGATGATTTCTATAAAGAGAAATTGATCCTTGGAGCTTTCAAACGAAAGGTTTTGAAATAGATGATGAGTAAGTTGAAGCATGATCACTCTATCAGGAGAAGATAAAAATAACCACAATAATATTTAAAGTACACTGAAAGGTCTCGCTGCTGGCAAAGCTCACTTCCAGTATTACAAATTTTGCTATATCATACTTATATTATTTTAATACTGACAGAATTCACACCATAGCTTTAGATGTGCATGCTGAAAAAATGTGCTTGAGTACTGCTTTTATCTCCATATATTTCAATATTGAAAAGAAAAGCTATAGTAAATGCATATGATCATGCCCCCAATTTTTTGGACATGATTTTATCGAGTGCAGCACTGCACATGGTCATGCACTTTTAAATAATTTTCAAAGTGCAATAAAATTGGGACAAAATCAACACACTTTGAAAAAAAAAATCATTTATTTTCTAAATATAGTTAAAATTTCCTCATAATAGCAAAAAATGTATAGGTTGCCATATTTTTTTATGAAGTTATGGACAATATTAAACAGAAGTAAATCTCAACATTAAAAATTGTTCATTTTAGATACCAGATTATAAATATTTGGCAAAAACTGGTTAAAATACATAATTTTGATGCTAAAAGTTTAAAAGTAATTGCAAATTTTAAAATACTAGAATTGTGAATATCAGGGACAGCATTTTACATAAAGTACGTAAGGGTTGCCCGCAACCCTGTGTCTCGCCTGCTGTCGCTGTGGTTAGTAAGAAATGATTGTCTGATAAACTGAAGCATTTATTGACATTTCAGAAGGAATAACTCAAAAAGTGGATCAGTCATTTTGCTGGTTTTTAAAGAGATATTGTCATGGACTTTAAGAACTGTAAAACGTTTCTATCTGGCTGACTATATATATTTTATATGGATTTAATATATAACTTTTGCATACTAACACAACATTTTCCTCTTAGTCAATGTGTAATGCACTGCATATGCCAACTGGTAAACAGAAAAGTATAGGATAAATGCATCATGTAGGTTAAATATCTTCTGTACAGTTTAAAATTTCCATATTTCATATTATTCACAAGAGTAGGTAGGATCCAAATGCATCATGTAGGTTAAATATCTTCTGTACAGTTTAAAATTTCCATATTTCATATTATTCACAAGAGATAGATTGTTTTTTGTCCACTTTAAGTTTCTCCGAATAACTGCTGGAAATACTATGTACACTTTAAAAACACTGTATCATATGTTTGTGTTAGTAGTTCATAGCAAACCACAATGGTTTACACAACGTGTTATGAGTCGCAATAATTTGAACTTGCATTTTGAAATCAAATCCACTGTATATGTATCAAGTCATTCATGCAGAAAATGTAGGTGAAGATTACCTAATTATGGTACTGATATTGTTGGTTACCTATGATGTGTAGACTGACAAATTATCATGCCACTATAAGTTATAGTTGCTGAGATATGGACCTCCACCATAAATTTATGCAAAGTCACTCATGCGGAAAAATGTAGATCAAGATGACCTAATTCTGGTACAGGCGTTTGTGGTTACCCATGATGTATCCACTGACTAACTATCATGCCACTATAAGTTATAGTTGCTGAAATATGAACCTCCATTATCAATTTAACCAAAGTCATTCATGCAGAAAAATGTAGGTCAAAATGACCTAATTCTGTGATGTTTGTGGTTACCCATGATGTATCCACTGACTAACTATCATGCCACTATAAGTTATAGTTGCTGAAATATGAACCTCCATTATCAATTTAACCAAAGTCATTTTAAAAATGTAGGTCAAAATGACCTAATTCTGGTACATGTTTGTGGTTACCCATGATGTATCCACTGACTAACTATCATGCCACTATAAGTTATAGTTGCTGAAATATGAACCTCCATTATCAATTTAACCAAAGTCATTCATGCAGAAAAATGTAGGTCAAAATGACCTAATTCTGGTACTGATGTTGTTGGTTACTTATAACCTGTACAATGACAAATCATCATGCCATTATAAGTTATAGATGCTGAGATATGGACCTCCACCAAAAATTTAACCAAAGTCACTCATGCAGAAAAATGTAGGTCAAGATGACCTAATTCTGGTACTGTGTGGTTACCCATGATGTATCCACTGACTAATTATCATATCCATAACTTATAGTTGCTGGAATATAGGTCTTCACCATAAATTATCATGAAAAAACTAAGTCCAACTTAAGGAAAAAATACAAAAATTTGAATTTTTTTTTTCAAAATCATACTTGGGATATAAATTTTTATCCATACAATATTGTGTCCAAATTTCAAGAAGACTGAATAAAATTTGAGAAAGTTATTGCAGTTTATAAAACTTTGACATTTGGGTTAACCAAAAGTTTTCGACGACGACGACGACGAATCTATAGTCGCTATGTCTCGCTTCGCGACATTCGTCGCAGGCGAGACAAAAATGTACAATAAAATGCCTTAATACATGAGGAGTTATTGCTCTTGGCAACAATTTTAAAGATTAAATAATTTTAAAATCAAATAAAAAAAATATACATTTCTATAATGCTTTTACTTGACCTATAATGCTTTTACTTGACAATTATTTGCATTACACCTATTGAAAAGCATTCATCCAAAAATATTTTTAATAGGGATGGTATGAATATAGATTAATAACAATTTATTGCAAAACCACCTATGACATCACAGAGGGTGGAAATGCCTTAAACAATCATTTCTGAAATATTCATAATGTCTAATTATCTCAGATATTGAAGTGACCTCATAACCCAAAAGCTATCACAACCAGATTCAATTATTTATCATACCTAAGATTTGCAAGAATATTGACCAAGCCATACACATTTTAGTTTTTTTTCAAAGCGCATGTTAATATGTTCCATATTAACACACTTTAAAATGAGATTTCATTTTTTTTCAAAGTGCTTAACTTGGTCCCAAATTTTACTCACTTTCAAAAATATTTTCAAAGTGCATTGTAACACAACACTCATGACCTGGTCAGGTATTGGTTGACCAGGTGTGCTAACATCAGGCCCCAAATTTAACCATAAAATGAGAATAGACTTAAGTCAAAATTTTAATTTTTATGATAATATCTTCAGCTCCATTCGATGTATTAGCTTAAAAGTTTGCAACCGTCCAAAATACTTCAATTCAAACATATGTTGAAAATTTTATTTTATTATCGACATTATTTTGAAATTAAGTTATATCGATTTGAAATTTTGACTTAAGTCTGTTCTTAAATGGTTTTGGGGCCTAGATCAACAAAAGCATAATTTTATACAATGTATCTCTCTGGTTGACTAGAAAATTCAGATCTGGTTTATCTGTTAACATTTTCTGATCCAGAGAGCTACAGTATCATGGGGCTAAAAAAGGCTGATTTTAAATCCTTTAATGGCAATATATTTGATTATTACATACTATTTAATTATAATATATTTGCACTTGAGATAATTATAATGCATGTCATGTCTTTCTGCATCGTCAGAAACCCACGGTCAGTCTCTCTTCTCAGTCTTGGTTGGTAAGAGAAGCGAGACCGACCGTGGGTTTCCGACGATGGTCTTTTTTTAGAACTGCATGAATATATTTGAAATGCATTTAAAAGAAAACAGTACAGTAAATTGTACTCACATTCTGCATAGTTAACTATTTTTATACTGTTACCAGTTGTCATATATTTTCGACCATTTGTTATGTAAAGTTACCTGATGGGTGTGGTATACGCCCACAGTGGGGTAATACAGTAAAATACGCTTATATTGAACATACTTAAACAACTTGGCGCTTGAAGCAAAATTATGTTTATTTCCCTTAACTTTTAAAATATACTGTAAACTTCTTCTGACAATATGATGAATTATGCTTATAACGAAGCACTACCATATACATGCAAGTGTGTTTTACTATAGTATGTATATTAAACAATTGCAATAAACCAATAAAAATGACTTTTAACTTGAAAGTACAACAGTATTTTTCACTCAGTCATCAGAGTTCAAGGGAAATGTGATCCTATTATTCAGTACATACCGTTAATTTCTTATTTTATCCACTAAAAGTCTATGTCATTCTTATAGTAGTCATCAGTTTCCTGTGTTATAAAACAACACATCTAAAGCTGCACGGGGATGCTTAATGGATACCGTAATACAAATACAGGATTATACAACACAGTATTCAGATGATAAACCCTCATGCCTTTTCAAATGGAAAATAGTACTGTAACAGTATTATCAATATTTCAGTTTTTTTTAAATAAAACAGAAATGCATTAAATTGCATTGGACTGAACACAATATCGCACTTAGCCTACCTGTAATCATACAAGAAGGATATACTACAACAATAATATGTACAGGTCAAATATACAAATTTGATTGCTCATGATGCAATAAAATCTCTGCAATATAATTAAGCTTACCTGTAAATACATTTTATCCATGGAGACTACACAAAATGTCACAGGATATTGGCCATTGAGGATACAGCGTAAATCCAATAATATAAAGTCACGGCCAACTTACTTCAACCCAGCACAGCGCAAGGACACTCATGTATACATAAACTTAAATGCTATATACCCTGTACATTAATTTTCCTCTGGTGATAAGGACAAATGATTTTTACTGATAAGGTATGATGGGTAAATACTCCTACATATAAGGGTTATATCCCCGATACTAAACAGAAAAGCTCATGTATCCTCAGCTAGTTCCTGTCTGAGTATTGATTTACCATTACTGTGAAATACACAATGAAAGGATCTTCCTTTTTGCACAATTAAGTTCATTACGTTTATGATAGGGTAAGAAACTGGAGGCCAGATTCATGGCATCCAAATTTCATGCCAAAAAGAGCACCATTACAAGTATATTTATATGCATGTAAATGTATTTACTCAACATAAACTCAACAGCTCAAGCAGAGTCTGCAATATGTTCATGACTTTTGGATACAAACAATGATATGGATTTTATTGATTTTGTTTCTTGTAATATGCCTCCAAGTTTTCAACAAGATAAAAATGATATAAAGCAACTAACAACCTCCACTCCTTGACCTAGCATTGAACCATTCCATAATGCCCCAAGACAAATCCTTATTACAGTGTAACCTGTCGAATCCGACATGCACTGGGAGACAAATTTTGTGTCGGAATAGACAAGGTGTCAGATTGCACAGTGTTAAAAACAGAGAGAATACTAAACTGGGGAAGAAATTTATTTAGTCGGAATTCACAGTGTGTCGGATTATTCAGGTGTCGGATTAGACAGTTTTCACTGTATATGTCATTCAACTTTCATAACTGTCAACTAAGCAAAAAATCTAAAATGTTTTATCTCTAATGGCTAGCAAATTCACAGAAATCTAGCTATGCATTGATTTCTACAAGAAAAAAAGATATAAAAGTTGAGTTTTATTAAGCCTGTTAGCAATTAATATAAATGTGGGTTTAGCATGTTTATAGTGACAAGAATGGGAGATAAAGATACAAGTATATACTTGATAATTAAACTAATGGAGGGGTTTATAACTATACATAAATTATGCCTTTAACATCTATTGTTTCTACATTCTTTTTTTATTTTAAATATCTAATAGTAAATACTCCTGCATTTTTAAAATAGCCAAACATAATATTTATTTAGTTTGTATAATAATGTCTCTTTCTTAAACAACAAAGGGTCTTACAAAATTCCACTTAATGTAAACATTTTGTTCATCTGCATATCGTAATGTTACACACTATGTATCATGTGTTTTATTTTTTATCTGAAGTTCTAAAACATTCCTAATTACCTTAATGCATCACAAGCAAGAATTTCTTTAATCAAATAGTTTCTCCATTTTACAAAAGTACAGCTAGTTATTTTCAAAATGTTAATTTCCCACCTCTGTAAACTGCATAAGAATTTCTTTTCAAGGCTTTCAGTAAAATAGACCCTTTTCCTATGACATATTTTGCCTAGGAGTTATTCCCCTTATTTTAAATATCAACAGTAAATATCCCTTCATTATTCATAGCCAAGTTCAACTTGTTATACTTTAGTTTGTAAAGATAACACTCTTTTTCTTATGAATATAGGTTTGTTAAAGCCTCTATTAATTCATAATTTTAAGATTTTGAATTTTACACACATATATTTGTTGCATGTGTTTTAAATTGGTTGCTCTAAAGAGGTAAATTCATTCTTTACCCTTCAAGATGGCGGCTACAAGCAATTTCTTTAATCAAAATGTGTCATAGGAAAAGGGTACAACTAGTTATTTTCAAAATGTTAATTTCCACCCTTCAAGATGCATAAGAATTTCTTTTCAAAATGTGTCATAGGAAAAGGGTCTATACTTTAGTATCCAAAGATCAATCCCATATTCCCTGCATTTCTGTAACACAGGGTAAAGAACATTTCAAACAAATAATGGAAATAACTGTATAAACATGAGTACTTTATAAACTATAAATATGTCAATACAACATGATAATGTCCCTATACCCAGGGTACATTAATTAAATGCAAATATGAAAATAAATTTACACTTACTATGTACACGTACCTTGTCTTTTTGTTTTACGAGTTTATGCAGTGTGATGGAAGGATAGATGGAAGAACAGAAGGATGGAAGATGGCTATGATAATTAAGCACTATACTGACTATAGGTCTGAGGTGTCTGACCATGTTAAAGGGTATAAAAAAGGCACATCCTTTTCTTAAATGCCTCTAGTTTATCACATGTTTCCAACATTAATTAATATCTTAATTTGTCTCCTAAGAAATACAATATCAAGCTGTATGTAAATGAGTAGCTCACTTTTGATAGTGAATGACCTGGCACAAAACAAGTTGACAAAAATAGTTTGAAAGGTAAAGGGAGGGGGTCTTTTTATGCAATGATATGGTTTCAATATTCATTCTTTATTTCGTTTTGTTAAGTTTCTAAGTTTTCAAATTTTTTGTTTTTACCGGTATTGAAAATATTAATTTCAAGCGCGGATCCAGGAATTAAAGTTGGGGGGGGGGGGGGGGGGGGGGGGGGGCTTGAGGCCCCTGCCTGGGTCCCCCAGTGGGTCCTGGATTCTAGAGATTTTTTTAGGGTTTAAATGAGGTCTAGTAGACATTTTTTACATTTTCTTGATGAAACTGTTTTATGCTTTCATAATTTTAGGGGGCGTGCACTGGGTGCCCCCTCTAAATCCAGCATTAAATCTTTACACATGTTTGATATATTGATCAGAAGTAGTTTCTTACATTTTCATTGACATTAGAAGGATGTCAATGACCTTTTATGGTTGCTTTACATTCAGGGTCTTCTTTAAGAAAAATAAAAGGTAACCACTTAGATAAGGGCTTTTAACATCGTCATTATTATGTCTACATCTACCAGTATTTTAAACAACAATTTGTATCACCACTCCCAGGCTAAGAAGCAATTCTAACAACATCAGTGATCAGTATGCAGGTACACGTGATAATTGATATCTAAAACTCTAAGGTTTAATGGCTTCTTATAAATTCAATGATCATGATGAATTATCACGTACCATACACTCACTGATCAATAAATACTCCGATCTAACTTGATGATAAAAAAACTCCCAAACAAATCTACTACATGTACCACATATATTTTACAAACTGATTTATAATTGAACTGAAAAACTTTTTTTAATGTCTTTTTCTAATGTTTTTTTTTTCAATTTTGTTTGTACCAATGATTTAAAATAAATTGTTTTATTTAAACGATGACTTACGTTCACACAAAAGTAATATTTCACTTGCCAGTTATTATCAAGCTACATGTACTATACCTTTGAAAACTTAGAAATATCCAAAGAGCAACATATATTACTTACCATGTAATTTCTCTCTCAAACAACAATAGAATGTTTACAAGGTCATCTCTAACTATACAAATCTATATATCGATAGATTCTGCTTGTGTGCATTGCAATAAAATGCAAATTTCTAAGATCGTGATGATAAACACTTTTTCTATTATCCTATACAGCCTCTAGGCTCTGGCTGTGAGAATAAAGCATTGATGTTTTCAGCTGCAAATAACCTCTCAGTCATAAGCAACTTCTTCCATTTGGCCAGGGTGTTCTAATACTGCAGAAAATATTCCTAATTAAAATTACCATGGGAAGGTGTGTTAATCAAATATTAATATCAATTAGACATAAAAATATAATATTGCTATACATATATATGTCGTATTACATCTTGAAAAAATATTTCACTGCGAAAAAAAATTGTTCTAATTTTTTGTTCTTTTCTGAATCTGATCATCATTAGCACAAATTCGTTTAAGGTAAATGCCTGCCAGTGCCATACTTGCCTAAATTACCTATCCCCATCATACACTCATCCCACCCCTAGCTCACATCACTATATATAATGATATTTTGTATTCAAGGTATTGTATATCCTCAAAACTATATGCTAAAAATTTGGTTGATAATTAAATTACTTCAAAGATAGGGATACATGTATGCTTGTCTGCAATTCATTTTTATAACAATTAATTAACGCTTGACCCTTATCAGATCAACATCCTATAACATCTCTGTACATGCAGCGACTATCAGAATTTCGGAGCATAACAAAGCTCTGATTTTAATCAGATTGCCTATAAACCTAATCATTTCAGGAAGTCCTTTTCTTATTTTTTGTACAATGTACATATATGTAGCAATCCTTCCAAAACCACAATTTACATTATACATGTGTTGTAAAAATAATGTAAACATAATCTCATCCTTTTTGTTTCAAAGTTTCAAATTGTAAAAAAAATTAAGATTTTATTTTTATTTTTAGGCCTATTTTATTTTTTTATTTAAAAGATTCCCTTGCTTTATTATGTCAAGGTACTTTTTTCAGAAATGCTGAAAAAAGCATGTAAGAGAATATAAAAATTACAGAATGCCATTTATGACCATTTTTTTTACATATGAAAAGAAAGGTTAAAAACGTTAAGCGCCTTTGGCATAAAGCTTCAGATGCTGGAAAAATGTTATCAGCTTATAAATGGAGTTTTAGGTCCAGATTCTTGATAAATTCATTCGTTGGATTTGAAATCATCATAGAAATTGAAAAGACAAGTAAGTATTTTAAATATCTTACCTTTAATCTAATGAAGTTACCACAAGTTTCCACCTACATCCCTTCCACGCTTTTTAGGAAAATGTTTACATTATCGACACAGTTCTCCCCCTTATATATATTTTTTGTCAATTCGTACTAATTTTATTCTTAGAACCGACATGTTTGACGTAAGGGTTAATGAAAATTTTTATTTTCAACCAATCCAATTTTGTTTTTGTAGTAGACGGGGGGCTTTTCAAATCAACTTCCTGTGTCAACACATTGGTCACATTGACATGATCTTCGTGAAATGAAACTGTTGTTAATCGGTTTCGTGTTAATTTGGCAGCACAGAGAGTCGGAATGTGTTCTCGACTCCATAAAACATTGGATGTTTGGAGACGACACCCAGCATAATGCTGACAATGCCCTCAAAAAGAGTAGCTCAAAGTTTGAAATCGTATCAACTGATACAAAGTTTCTAAAACTTGCTAGCGAGCTCACCGATATGTCACCGCTAGATGCCTGCTATCATATTGTAATTCAGTTAACTGTATTTACATATATCTAAGAAAACCTTTACGACTCATTTAATTAGCAAAAAACATTTATATAAGGATATATGAACATTTATCATTTGTTAGTTCGCAATTTTATTTATCAAATAATTCAATAAAAATCCATCGATTGACTTAGCCATGAGCTATGCATTTAGGAGAAATTGACAATTTCGTGTTTTACTCACCACTTTTTCAATATATACCACTTGTAACAACCGTATCAACATGTCTCTACTAAAATTTTCCTTTCTATAGGCTTGATGTGATGTCATGTAATGGCTTCTTAGTAAAACAAATGTTTACATGAAATCGAAGAAAGTGGATATTGACGGCATTTTGAGAAAGACTTATGCATAGCTACTTAGGCAATCAAATAGCAAAATCCTGTGGTTCATTATCATGATTATCAGGTGTCAATAGCATTTCCAATTTTATGTATTAATTTTTGTTTGTTTTTTCAGGTTGTTTATAATTTAAAGAAAAAGTGTGGGGAACTGAAGGAAGAGGATTTAGGAAAATTGGCTGTTCAACTTTTAAATTGTCAGTCCATGGCAGAAGACAGACCCACTTTTAAGTGCACGTCAGAGATGGTACGATCAAACTTAGTCCGAAATATCTGATGTTTTCCAGGCTTTTTTCACGATTTTTATATTTTACGTGCCAGGAAAACATCAAAACTGGCGCCATTACGAAAACTGGGAATTGTACGATCAAACTGATTAAGTCACTAGAACTTGTAAGAAATCTTAGATTGATGTTAGGGCATATTCCCTTTGCCAGGTTTTGTGATACGCAAGAAAAAAAAATTGAATGGTTTTATAAAATTTTTATTTTGTATTCCAGTCAATAGCTGAATGCACAAAAGACATGGATGGCCCAACCTGGAATGCTTACCAGATTGTTGGTAACAGAGCCAGGGCAGTGTGCTACGCGACCCAGCAAGATCAGTTCCGCAGGTTAACAGAAATGGCCGTCCATGATCTGGTGTCTGCTGCAGATGATCAGCTAGAGTCAATGAAGCAAATGATGGTATAACAATAAAAATGTTGAAATTTAGTTTAAAATTTTACTTTGAAGCTTTATTACACTGATCTGATGGGATATTATTTTGGTGAATTTCATTATTCATTACATGTATTATGCTATAATTTGTATAATTCTTCTTTAATTAATGATAGGGACTCTGAAACATAGACACATTTTTTTCTATAGATATATATTCTACGTAATTTCTTTGTACTTTACTGCTTACTGTAATTTTTTGATGATACCGTAATTATTTAATATTATAAATTAAGTATCATTAGGGCCCCGCAAGGATTTGCGGGTGCCCTATAGTAATCACTCTGTCTGTCCGTCTGTCTGTCTGTCCGTCTGTCACTCTTCCGTCCACAAATTTTCTGTTTTTTTCTAATAACTTTTTTTATGGTTGCCCAATCAAGTTCAAATTTGGTATGGTAGTTCAGTAGGCAGAAATACATATTTTGATGCTAAGTTTGGTTCTCTATGTCTTCTGGTTTGGAGCTGGGGTGGTGGGGTAGATTCCTTAACTATGCATAAGAATGAATGGGCAACTTTTTTATGGTTGCCCAATCAAGTACAAATTTGGTATGGTAGTTCAGTAGGCAGAAATACATATTTTGATGCTAAGTTTGGTTCTCTATGTCCCCTGGTTTGGAGCTGGGGTGGTGGGGTAGATTCTTTAACTTTATATAAGAATGCATTGGCAAAGAGAGATAACTGCTGAAGATGTTCCCATTGTAAACTGAATGCTGGCTATGAGTCCCTTGGGATTAATTAGCTTTCGTCCTGAAGAAAATCCAGAGCATTATCTTTATCTGTCACATTGAGATGAATTACCACCTCTGTCTGCAAATGAAGTTTGTTTTGAAGTTAAGTCAATTTGGAATGCTATGAACACTCTGAAATGTGGATTTAAATATTATTATTAAATTTTTATAATTTATTTTTGTTTTATAGTTATGATTTCATTGAATTCTAAAAACAAGAAATAGATTAAAGAAGATTTTTTGATTTACTTTTTTTTCACTTTTAATATGTTAATTAATTTTTAAGGTAGTTGTATAAAAACCCCATTCTATCATTAATACTGAAAAAGTTCTTATTGTAACTTTAGAAGAAAATGATGAGAGAGGTACAATTAATCCTTTGGGATTAATTATCTAGCCTGCTGCAGAAAATTTAGTAGGCTTTCCTTTATCTTTAAGATTAATGAAAACCTTTGTCTGCAGCTGCTGTTTGTTTGAAGTTTAGGTCAAGCCTTCATGATATTTGCATCCATTGAAGGCTGGCATTCTAAGTAACACAAGCTTCATAATTGTTTAAATATACATTCAATGTTAAGTTGTTCTTTACTGCCTAATGTAAATACAAGGATATTATTTTCAGGTTTTTGAATATTCAGGAATTATCTTGAAATTTTAAGAATACAGTTGCTGTTGCTTATTCTTCGTACATTTTTTAATCATTCCGTAAGCTGCACCCTTTTAATTCTACCCCAAGGCGGGGCCCTTGCTGACTGGTCAGTTTTCTAGTTTCATTTATATCTGACATTCATTATATTATTTAGAAAGGTCAAGAAGTATTGCACACTTTGACCTCGGAGACAGTACAGAAGCTGTTTGACAGTCAGATGGAGTTGCTAGGTAACCATCAACAACTGAAGCTAGCCCATGACAACATCATGAACAATGTCCAAGACAATATGAACAGCCTGCACCAGGAGAGGTCACTGATTGCAACCGGAAACCAGCAGCTGGCAGAAATGGTGGAGAATATTAGACAGAAGCTAGGTATGCATATTATGGTGTTAAAGCTGAAACACAGGAGTACATACTCATATGATTCCCAAAAGTAAGTTTTATTATCTATTACTAAAGTCTTGAAAAAAATCATATATTTTGAAGATATGGCTGCTGAAAAAATGGCTTCTCAAGAGAAAAAACAACAGGACAATTACCAGAAAATCATCGAGGATTTGAGCCAAATTCATAAAAAATCACAAGATGCTCTGGAAAAGTTAGGTAATAAAAATTCAAGAGAAGTATGTTCTCAGATTCAAAGATTTTGAGTTTGGAAGTCATTTTTGGGAATTTTGAGCTGGAACCAGTAAAAATTATTTGAAGAACCAAAATAAAATTATGTTTTAGTACAAAGTTTCTTTATCGTTATTTCAACAATCAAATTTTTACAATAATTTTTTTTTTTTAGAATCACAAGTTTGTTTTCTTTGTGTATTATTTAGTGTTCTTTATTTGTTTTGAAGTAAACTTAAATTTTTAAACATTTTAAAATCATTTTTAAAATCATCTTGGTTGATGAATATGCCATTCATTTGAGTGTCCTCGGCTTAGGAAATTTAATACATACGAGGGCCGTTCAAAAATTACGCGGACTTGTTGCACAGAAAAATTATTTGACGACATAATCGGGCAAAACGTCACACATAAGAGAAAAGAATCTTTACTTATATTGTCTTCAAAATTTCATATCAAAATATTGTAAATTGGTATCAATTTTGAGTGATTTTTCAGGACATATCATTAAGTCACGGAGCAGCAAAATTTTCGACGTCACAGGCATTACAAAAAATAATGTGTTTGAGCTTTCATTTTCTCATCATTTTCCCAAGAGTACCTGTACAGTTTGAGTTACCTTATCTACTCAACATCCAAACACCATTTCTTGTCAAGCTTAAAATCTATTAAACAAGTAAAGAATATTCTTTTTTTGTTTTAAAACCAAACATATGCGGGTATTTATTATCAGCGTTATTGGTGATTATTTACAGTCCAGATAAAGTTTTCGTCGTTAATCTTCTTCCCGTCCTCCCCTATAGCCTTTCTCAGGAGGTCTAACGGTCTAAAATTTCAATTTGCTGTTTGTGGACGAATGTCACGAATACCCTAGTTTACTACATGTTTTAATTTGCATATTTTGGATCTTTGTTGGCGATATCTCGAGCATTACACATACTTTAACAAAAGTGTGGTGCGCCGTCAATTCAATTTTCACAGTCGTTTTCACGAGAATCGCATCAGAGGAAAATCACTATATTTCTGTTAGTACTTTAAATATCACGTCAGAAATCTAAATACATGATAATAGAACAATTTTAAGATACTTTTGAGAAAATTGTCGAAAAATATCGCAAATTATAGAAAATTAATGAGTTAAATTTTGGATTCCGCTTGCTTCTGCATGAAATTTTTTGTCGTCCTCCGTATCTATTAATATTTTAAGTATTTTTTTTAAATAAAAAATTTTGCATTTGAATCTTTAACATACATATTTCTGTGAAATTTCATAACTATATGACGTCTGCTAAGAAAATAATAGCATTTTTTGAACGGCCTTCGTATTTGATAATTATTAGTTTTATGAAGATGCATGCACATGACAAAAATTTTTTATTATCTTAACTGGCCTTACAGATGAAAGTTCTAAGCAGCTCTTGCAGAATCACAAGGAGATGACCAAGTTTTACCTGGAGATGTACCAGAATGTGGTCAAGATCAACTCCTCAGTCAGTGAGCTGATGAGAACTGTACAGACCATGCAGAGGGACCTAGAGAAGAAGATTAGCTGGTTCTCACACATCCTAGGCAGCTCAGGTAGGGCAACCAACTGTCTGGCTAATTTTATATTTGTTTGAATTTTATTAATTAACAATGTATGTGACATTAATTTTAGAGTTTTGGGAATCAAAAGAAAAAAGTATTTGCTCAAAGTGACCATAACAACTATTCTACTTAATTAGTATAGAACAAAAAAAGTGACATACAGTTAAATCTGATTATCTCAAAATCTCTGAAGCTTAAAATTACTTAAAGGTATCAGAGGGGTTGAGATATAGAGGTTAAAATACATGTAGAAAAAGTGTTTGAGAATTCCATGTCACTTTCAAAAAATATCCAAGCTAACTGTTGTTGTTAAGATGTTGTTCTAGATACAATTTCTCCCTGATGTTTTTATATTTTTGTTTTGCAGAGGACAAGCTGGCAGTTTTGATGTCCTGGGGACAGCATCTGATGTTCTTCCTCTTTATAATAATTATGTCTGTCTATCTACAAATCCCTCGTCTGTCACGCCTGGCCATCATCGCAGCTCTGACAGCTAATGCTGTCGCTGAACTCAAGTTTGGACACAGTATTGGGTTTAAACATGTCCTGGGTTTCATAGTCACTGTAGTGACAGGTAATTTATCTGGAAAATGTGAATTGAGTGTTTTCTTACATTGTTTCACTTATGCATGATATAAAATGTACTCCAAACAAAGGAAGATTGTAAAAATGTCTTCTTCTCAAGTGATAATTTTAAATTAACCTTGTAATATTGAAACCAGTATGCAAAATTAAACTCCAAAATAAGGAAGAAGGGAAAGATTTAGCTTTTAAGCGTTGATTATAGGATGCCCATATATAGAGAAAGAATGGGGTAAATAATATAATTTCAAGAAAGAAATAATAGAATCACAAAATACAGGTACCTGGATATGGAATATATATATATGTTTTATTGTATATTTTTTTCCAGCCAATGTCATGTATCATATCTGGCGTCCTAAGGTGGACACTAGAAGGGAGCCATATCTAGCCATTGGGAATTCCCCGATCTCTGATTCCAGTCCTCTGTCAGCTGGTGACATGCAGACACTACAGAACCTCTTACAGAGATTCCAGAATTCTGGTAAATTGGGTTTTACCAGAGAGATACAATAATGTAAAAAAATGTTTTATTTTAATGAAGAAAATGCACATTGTACATCTTAATACACTATTTGAAATGCTGGGAAACTGCTAGAAAACTTTAAGCACAATGTTCTCTATTTAGCTTTGGATTCAAATGAAATGGTAGCAAGAAATTTTTTGTATGCTCTTGAAAATTAAGTTAAATATGGGTTTTTTATTCAATTTTGTATAATATGTATGCAGAGTATAGCCTCAGATGTTTGCATTCAATAGCAAATCAACCGGATTAATGCAATATCTGACTTTGCTGAATTGTAGCTTTGTAATGAAAAAACATAAAAATTGTACATTCTTTTCTCCACAAATTTCATTTGAAAGGTGAAATATCTGTATTATTTGCATTGTAATTAATGGGGCTTCATTCCACACAGATTTCCACATGCTATGAAAATGACACCAGATGTTGCATGTGATTTGTTACTTTTGTTTTTCCTAGGTCCTGATGGCAATAACAGAGGAGCCAATGGAACTGATACAAACCACAGCCAGGCAACCAGAGCCAGGCCTGACTCCTCAACCATGGTAAACAGTCAGCTCTGTAAAATATATACACATGTATCGGGGTATGGTAATGTGTACTGGTACATAATGTGAAAGTGGTGATAATGAAAGGTTCACAGTTTGAGGATTTCATTTTTTCAAAAACATGATGAGTGAAAATGGTATTCTAGTCTTTTATTTGTATTTTTTTGAGGGTGCAAAAGTTAACAAGTGGGTAATTCCATCATTACAAATACTGTACATGTACAAGTCATTTGTGAATCAGAGATTAAAAAATAAAATAAATAGTGTATATTAAACTTTTAAAATGTACATATTTACATGTATATTACATTTTTTTAATTGATTATTCCTGTACATGTATGTGTTTTCTTTTTAGTTGGATGAAGATGAGAATGTGCGACGGTTTTTAGATGAGAACTTTGACCTCCCTCTCCACCCTCGACCCGAGACCCCCCTCCCATCTACCTCAGCCTTCTCACGATCATTTTCTAGGTAAATATGTATATTTATCGAGGTACATATGTAAAATTATGTCACATATATATTACTAGTATGTTGCTTTTTCATTTTTGTCGAAACATTCACTGTTAGTTATGGACATGTATGAGTTTTAAGGGGAAAAAATATTTAAAATGAATAATCTAAATATTAACGAGGCTGAGTTATGAAATGCAATTTTTTTTTATTGAAATGTGATCATGGCATGGCCCTCAGAAACAGATGTTACAACTTTTACATTTATATAAAATTTGAAAATGGATTACTCGGTAAAAAAAAAATCATCCAGATTTGAGGTAGTGCTGATCATGACAAAAGTATTCCTATGTGTTTAAATGTTTAGTGGCCCCTTGGCTGAGAGAGGTCAGGGAATGCTATATATGTAATATTCAACATTTCCAAAAGCTTTGGTAAGTCAACCATTAAAAATGTTTTTATAATATACAGGATTTACATATGTACACTATAGTTTCATAGATACAACAAAAACTGCAATAACAGGAGTTGTTGAACACTGCTCACATTAGATCATTTCTAATTAATATACATTTGAGAGTTGGAATTGTCCAACTTGAAATTTCTTTACCAATGCATACTAAGTTTCATCTTCGATATGGGGAGCAGGGTTGACCGAAAACCCTTGGCTAGCGAAGATGACCAAGTTTTAAAATTGACAGAATGTTCTTGAAAAACGAGGGAGTAAATTACATTTTAGAGAAAAAAAACAGGTTACATATTATATGCAGGTACAGATTAATAAAAGGCCCATGTAGTAAAATTTGTTGGTTTACTTTACTTTAAACATATTTTATTGAATAATTCAATAAGGATTGGGAAACAGGCAAGGCCTATGTACACCCTCTCCTTGTATAATAGGTCAAGATACATGTAATAATACATGAACATAATAATCAATAAAATTATAATGAAAAATAAAGAATCACAATCAAGTATTATTTATCAATATTATATTTTTAAAAAAGTTGGTTGGTTTGAGCTCAAGCCACCGAACAGGAAAAGAAAGATATATTTTAAAGCTGATTGCCTGGAAGAGTACTACAGGCTTATTGTGATATTTTATATTATTGTTTACAGGTCATCCACACCCTCCCGTTCTAGCACAACGAGTCTGCGTTGTCACGGTCTGACGCGAGCAGGAACCCCTTGTCGACTGTCAACGATGCCAGGACAAGAATTCTGTCACCGACACAATAAGTAACACTGTGGAAAACCTGTCTCCATGAGCATTTAACTAAAGTCCACATGAATTGTGATTTACTTGAGTGTAGAACAGATAATATACAATTATTGCTGTTTTTTTATGTCAATACGATGATTTAGACACCTGAGGAGTACAATATTCACTGAGCCCGAAGGGCAAAGTGAATATTGTACTTCGAAGGTGGCTAAATCATCTTGTTGACTGCAGAAAACAGCAATAACTGTTCTATTATATGATTAAATTATAGCAAACTCCCACAAGACTGTTTCTTTGCTTTAATTGAACGTTTTAACATGAAAAATCAACAAGAACACATTGTAACAGAAAAAATGGAACAGGTCAATAATTCTTTATATTGACCTGCAATAATTCCTTGTATAACCTGGAACGTCAAGAATACATGTATTAATACATAGTTGAATCTCAACCAATCAAAGAGAAGGAAATTATTTAATCATATAATAAAGAAAATTATCATGTTTTGAATTTTGAAATTCAGTCATGTGATTAGCTTTGGTTTAATTGATTTACTTGTGTATAGAACTTTTTATTTATCATGTTTTGAATTTAGATATCAGATTGTGTAATAAATTAAGCTTTGGTTTAATTGCAGTGCATATGATAATAGAATATAATATTTTTTTGCAAGTTCGTGATGTGCCAAATGTTAGTATGTTTTTAAATAGTAATAGATTAGTATGTAAATTGATGATCAGAATAATTACCGGTACATGTATTTATCTGAGCGTTTTTCATACTATAGTTAACATCTGACAAAATGTAGCTTTTTTTTCATAACTGTATATAAATGCCAAGTTGTAAATTGATCTCATACAAGATTTCTAAAGATATTTATGAAACATGCTTCTTATGAGAGTAGATTCAGAAAACTTAGTTTATTTCATTGTTCAAGTTTCTTTATATTAGAATTTATTGCAGTTGACTGACACCATTAAGATCAAAGATCAATACTTTTTTGATTGTAAATAAGTTAGTTGTTCATAAGTACTAGTACATGTACGAGGGTTGTCCCATAAAATCGTGGACAAAGCGTTTTTCTCGAAAAGTAATGGGCGCACTAAGCTGAAATTATCAGTAAATGTTTATTCATCATATTTAAGTGAGTCATAATGTTTTTGATAATATATATTCAAAAATAAAGATTTTATTCTGCTTGAATGTGCACAATTACGATTTACGGCGCACGGTAAAAATAGCAAGGTTATATTAGAGAAGACTTAATTCATTAAAAGTTTTCAATACATAAGATTAGGATGAAAATTATCCTAATTCCATTCCTTAATCAATTCTATCATCTATTTAAAAATTTCAAGGCATTTGGTTAATTTTTGGCAGTTTCCCGAGCATTTGAAATGGGAAAGTAATAAACACAATACACGAAAAATGGCGACTTTTTATGACGTTACGGCGCACCGGAGAGCAATTCAGATAGATAAGGATGTTGTAATGACGCCTTAAGAGACTTTAAATGAATACAGAAGAAAGAAAATATGAAAAATATCACCAGATCTTTTGTATATAAATGAAATGAAAGTTTTCTTAGTGAAGTCTTCGTGGTCGAGTCCCCAGATAGCACAAAACATATGGACAGACTGCCATTTGTAATAGCAAAGGACGCTGTCACTGTCAACCGTCGATCTGAGATTCTCTTTTAGTTGAATGATGGTGAGAATACTGACTGTAACTTGCTAATAAATATTCAGAAGATTGCTTGAGTGTGCCACATTGGTTTCTGAACTGGTTATAGATACTCACATATGTAAATCAAATAAAATTTCTAAATTTAAGTGGGGTTTATCCAACTTTAAGTTTAGCAAAGATGAAACGTGACGCTGTTTTAGACTTTTTGACTTTATCATCCGAGCCCGATACAGTACATAACATTATATATCACAGCTTTTTTTATGCATATATCTTTTTGAAATTTGCTATGTATATTCATAATTTATCTACTAAAAAGTGGTGAAAATTTCAGAACGCAGTGATGATTATTTTTCAAACTAGACAACTTGTCCACGATTTAACGGGACAACCCTCGTATATATATATATATAGTATATACATGCAGTTTAAAACTTTTGGGTAATTTTCTGCAAATATACCTGTTAGCCTTCGAGATTGTAAACAGTGCCTACTATAATATGAACAAAAATCAAGTACATGTAATACAGGTATACAGTATAAAGAAATTTTTTTTTTACTTATGATATAGATGTACAAGTGTATAACTTCAGTGATCACATGTATTTGTAAGATATCACTGAATGGTTTGAAATGAAGTAGAGGTATTAGTTTTCCAGATGTTTTTATTTTCTACAAACTATATGTGTATTTAAAGGGAAACAGAGAATTTAATGCCCTGTTCACACGGAGAGTTTAATTCGAATTAAACATAAAGTTACTGCGAATTAGCTTCGCTTAGTGTTCACATGGAGAATTTAATGCGAATTAGTTTAATTCGAATTAGTTTACTGCGCATTAAATTACTTCGCATTAGCTCTGTGTGAACGCTTAGCGAAGCTAATTCGAATTAAATTTTGAGGCATGCGTAGTGGCAAAATTAAGTCAAATGCCACATGTAGGTGGTCAGCTTTTAGTACTTGTGCTATTTTTGAGTTAAAAACTAAGGAAAATTGTGTTATAATCACTAAAATGTGTAAATGTGTGCATAGACACTGTGACATTTTATGTTAAATGCATAGATCTGCTTCTGCATTAGGTGACGTGATATTCAAATGACGTCACAATAGCCTTACTGATGCCTGGCTGTAGAAGTAAAATTTTAATTCGCATTAGTTTACTTCGCATTAGCTGCCGTGTGAACGCAATTGAATTCGCATTAGTTTGATTCGCATTAGTTTACTTCGCATTAATTTACTGCGAATTAAACTCGTGTGAACAGGGCATAAAATGTATTATCTGTTTAGAGTAATTAAGGTTACTACCTTTATATGATTTAGTTCAGCATTCCAATAGAATCAAACCAAAACCTGTGAACCTACAGTGTACATGTAATTTGTACAGCTTTATGCATATATTTATATTATTTATTGTATATATTCATCATGACATTGTCTCTTTTTAAAATTATAAATCACAAATATGATTGACTGCTTGCTAAAATTTAATTCTTGTGTATATTTTAATCAGTTTACAATAACCGGAATTTGCGAAAATTTTGTCTCACTTGTAAATACCAAACACCTACATGTATCTCATGAAAATAATGTGATCATTTGGTGATTACAGTAATAACAGTCAATCAAAAAATAATAAAATCAGTAAAAACCAAAATAGCAAAAATAAATCATATGGATTTGTTAAGCACACATTTAAAACTTACTTGAACTTGTATTTCACTTTGTCATAAATTTTAAAGTAATATACAATGTACCTTAATTTATTTGGTATCACTGAAAACAAGTCTTTATTTACTTCACTGCATTTTTATTATGTATGACTGAACAATTATTGTGCCCCTCCCCCTTTAAAGAAGGGAGAGCATGTCGTTGTGTCTGTCTGTCCATTGATCCGAAAACAGTTTCTGTTCATTCTCAGCCCAGAGGTTGCACATACTGAAATGAAATTTTTTTTGGTATACAGATTTCTCATAGGAATATCTAGATCAGGCCCTGTTTTGGTTACAATTGAGCATTTTTTGACAGAGTAAGCCCCTTGGACTTAGAAAAATTCCAACTATTTCCACTTTCTGTTCATTTTCTTCACAGAGATTGCTAATACTGAAGTGAAATTTGGTTTACATATTTTTGTCCAAAGGAGGGGACAGAAGTGTTTCACAAACAAGTCTTATTTGCTTTTCTCTTTGATAAGGTGATTAAATTCAACTGTCTTTATCTTAGAGTTTAAACCTTACCCATCTGTCACTGTAGCCATAACATTTTTGTCACGATATTATCAAACTACATGTATGTGTTCAGGTTGTTCATTCAAGAAGTTTGTGTGTGTTCTGTATTTATAATAATAAACCTACTGGAATGTTCTGGTAGCTATGTGAATGTTTATTTTACAGTATAATTTAATTAACAGAAATATGGTACAGAACACAAGAAGATTATAGTCATTTTATGGAACAAAAGATATTCATGCCTTCGGTTTTACTGTTTTTAAATTTTTTTGTGGCCTTGATATTAAAATGTTTTTGTATAATTAGTTCAATGTACATTTACATGTACCTATATACCAATTGTTCATTTATTTTGCCTACATTTCTAATTCATGCAGTCATTTCTCTTTGAAATTAATTTAATTTGCAGATTTGTCCTTGTTACGAGAAAATAAATAGTACAACATGAATATTCTTTTTGATAAGTTAATGTCTGGTAACATAGTGAGAGTAAAACTGATTTTTAGGTTACCTTGTGTCAATTAGGTGTAGATCTTCATCTTATAACATGTGAACATAACTTCTTCTTGAGCACTTTGTATACCGAGGAATCATCATTGTTCATGGTTTTTGTGAGTCATTCTTAACCAAAGAATTTGCATTCCCATAAATGGCTTATATCAAGGTATTATTTATTAAATCTTATAAGTGTTACTCACAGAAAAAAAACCAACACAATGGCAATGAACCAGAAAAATTTTGGTTGGCCATGAACAATGACCCCTATGAAGTCTACAGTTCTATTTGATTCAACGGTACTTGACCAGTTGTCTTCATTCAGTTTGAACAGAAGTACACGATTAGGGTCCTGCAAATCTAGGAGTTAAATGGAATGCATGATTTGAATGACCCTCTACCAATATGGTGTTTCTTTTCTGTGATTCTTCCTCCAAAGTGGGGCCAAAATTGTCATATAGTGAATTTGCACCTAATCTACAAAAATCTGTCTCTACTTCTACAGTCAAACCTCATTATCTCCAACTTGAAGGAACTGAGAAAAAAAAAGACATCCAAGAATTCAAGATTCCATGTCAGTTGTACTTACTTACTAGTGGACTTTTGCGAGAAGCACTGACTTTTAGAGTTGACGGTTTACTTGAGATGTAAACCTGTATCAAGTACGGCTGTACAGAATCGATAATGGATAAGAAAATCTTGATAGTGGTCATATTTATGGTGTTAGAAGCACTAACTTGTGATGACGGGAGTTGTCATTTTCTTCAAGTACAACTTATTTGTGCTTTGAAAAAACTAATTATTTTCAGCGCTCCTTGCAAAAGTCCATTATTCTCTCCATGCTCCAGAGGATGCATGAGCCCATTTCTTACATGTATACACATGTAAAACTGAAAACATGGCCAGGAAAATTTGAAGTACACTAACAAGACTTTTAACACAATAGTATTTTATTTGCATGCATTTATTAATTTCTGTAGTAACATTTTCTGTCCATAACACAGATAAAGTGAATATTGCTGCCGTGAGTTAAGGTTCTTGATCTGCTTTAACTTCTCCTCATCCTCCTGTAGACTGGAAGTGTACCGTCTTAAACAGGAAGAGGCTGACCTATAACATTGTATACAGGAAAAAACTCGTCAGTATATGTTCTCAGTTTGATGGAAATTATAGTGCATTAATAATTTCAATTTGCCTAATATTAACAATAGTTAGTTTCAAATCATGGCAGATCTGACTTTTTTTCTAAGTGATTAGCTTTTTTTTTCATACCTGGAGATGATAGTTTTCCAAGATTGGCTCAGATCTTTCATTTTATCTGCAGAAGAAATAAACTTTTTGTATAGCACTGAACCACAGATTCTATCTTGTATACTGTATTATATTGTGAAATGCTTTCAAAGTGGAAGTCACTATTAGCTGAAAATGAGAGAGTTTTCTCCCTTTAAACACATTCAACACATGAACCTCATACCCCAGCTATTTACCAAAGTCTGCGAGGGCAGATGTGTCCTCTTCCTGCTCCTACTTACTGAAGCCTGACACTGTATACTCATACATGTACTTACCAAAGTCTGCAAGGGCAGTTTGTTTCCTGTTACCCAACCTACCCTATATTTTTGTACCCGACCCTAAAGTTTTTTTCAGCTTTGGAGAAAAAAAATCAGGTATTTCATGTTCCAAAACTGGAAAAATATACACTGGGGTATTTAAGTGGTATTTCATGAAATTCTATGTTTTAAATGTGAACTTTCATAAAATAACACTTAAGGTGTGCATCAAAAGACATGGAATTTAATTTTAAAGGAAAATATTGACCTATGACATGTTTAATTTGGTTTTGTATTAGTTCATATCTCTTGAAAAAATAAAACAAAATAAAAAATAAAATAATTTTCCTACCTACCTACCCTATTTCTTTCAGGCTGGTAGCAGGAAATGAGATTATTATTTTTTTTTTGGCCTTACTGAAGTCTGACTGACACTACATACTAGTACATGTACTTACCAAAGTCTGCGAGGGCAGATGTGTCCTCTTCCAGGTTCTACTTACTGAAGTCTAACACATACATGTACTTACCAAAGTCTGCGAGGGCAGATGTGTCCTCTTCTAGATCCTCCTCCCAGCCCTCCTCACACTCCTCCTCATAAATAGCGAACTGTGATGGGGTCATCTCCATCACCTGGTAGAGACAATTTAAAGGAAAAATAGACATAGATTATATGAAATGATTTTCACAGTAATAAATACCATGGGTATTTTACTGTGAATTTAAATTTTCATGTGAGTACAATATTTATTGTTTTGTTATATTAAGAGACCCACAAATTTATATCCTCTACAAAATGCAAAACAACTCAACACACGAGATCTGCAATTAAGTCTCAACAAACTAATATTTTTTTTAAAAAACACAAACAAATTGACCCTATAAAACTACTGTAAAATCACATATTTTCATGGGGGAAACTTTTTGAGGTTTGAGAAAATATTATTGATATTTGGAGATTTGATTTTGTGGTTGGAGAAGTGTTGATTAATAATGCATATTGAATTTTACATTTCGTGGTGGTCATGAATTTGATGGTCTCTCAATACTTAGAAAACAATGAAAATTAAACCTCCACAAAAGTAGTGATTTCACAGTATGTGAAAATTCTATTTAATTTTCATTCAGTTTATGTAATGATTTTAGAGGATATTTTTCATTTTAATCCAAAGTGTTGAATCAATAACTGTATTATTTTTTTAAAACTTGGTGTCATTTCTATTGCTTTCTAGTCTGAAAATTTTAAGGTTTCGTTATTGTCTATAAAAATTTTTTTCAGACCATCAACCTATATATCTGCAGCTTCTATTTTTCAAAGCACACTTTAGCCATTTATTATTTCAATACAAAAGTCAAGAAGTAAACTTGAATTTTTTCCATGTAAGAAAACTTTTAAAGAACGCTCTTTCTAGTTAGTAAAATAATCCATAGACTAAAATTCTTGTTTCTCAAAATCAAAAAAAAAAAAATCAAAAAAACTCTAGCTATTTAACACAAAAACCTTTATCTCTGGTAAGCTTATTTTGATATTACATTACAAAGAATTCATAAATCTCGTTTTAAAAGCCCCTTCGTAGAGTGATCCAATCAATGATTGCGTAACAATCATCAAAGGCTGACCTTTAACACCATGAACAATCTGTCGTCTGTTAAAATCCCACTCGCTCCCACCACCACGTCACCAATCAAATCCTCCATAAGCTACGTAAAAAACAAATTGTTTGTTTAACTGTCACACTTCTTTGCTCAATTCAAATCCTTTGATAAGGAATGTATGAACTAGCAATATAAGTGGCAAATTGGTTCAACAGTTAAAAATGTTTATGAGTAAATAATTCTATCTTATAAGAATCTGCTAACATCAGAAACCTTTTACGTCTTTTTTTTAATGCTACCACTTAAAAATTCCTTTAAATTACTTTGACCACATTAAAGTGATAGTAAGATAAGAATTCTTGGTGGACATACATGTAGTATGGTACCTTTTGTTTAAAGAAAGTAGATTTCTGTTTTGCGAAGTCTTTGTTTTCTGCTTCCTCTTCAGCAATGTCTAGAACAGTGTCCAGAGGTATGTCTACCTGCAAATCAAAAAATAACAATGTAAAAGTAATCTTAACACTTCCAAAATTGCTTCAATATGAATGGATGATTCAGTGTAAAATTACATGTACAGTTAAATCTCCATTATCTCGAACTTGATGGGACTGAACAAAAACTTTGAGGTATCTGATGATTCAAGATATCAAGGGTAAAATACTTAAAGAATATAATTGGTTAATAGGACTTCCAATTCACTTCAACATATCAGATATTGGTATTCGAGATACCAAAGTTCAACTGTACTACTAAGTATGAATGTAATAAACATCCCAACAAAGAACGTCGAGTCGTTCTTACTGTGTCAAAGTAGTTTTCGGGATAAGCTTCTGAGAATCCATACATGTGGAGTAGATGCAGTAGATGCCAGTTAGGCCATGCAAAGTTAATTCCTTGGTTCTCAGGCCTTTTTTCAAGAAATATGATGAGGGAGGGAGGAATTTTTTTTTACTTTTTATTGCCCCCAAAACATGATGAGGCAGCTTTTTACATTGTACAAAATCTCAAAAAATAATGAGGGAGGTGATTTGGTGTTTTTATTTTATTGGTTTAGCAATAAAAAGGGTCAATGAGGCACCCTTGGAAGAGATGAGGGAGGGCCTGAGAACCAAGAAATTAATTTTTTTTTGCCTTAGCAGAATTATATAATGGTTTGTTCTACCAGTTTATTTAAGAGTATTCATCAAAAAATATTTTAATTAACATTTAACTCCCTTGCCTTGGTAATTGCCCTAGTAGACACCATTTCTAAGCAGTCAGGTTTAAAAGACAGATGAGCATTGTTCTTGGCTATGTGGTTCAGCATATCAGCCATGGGGACCATGTAAATGATTGACTTCTCTTCTTCTTCCTCCTCTGTAAAATCATCACTGTCATCGTCCTTTGGTGGCTCTGTGAAACTGTATGCCATTACATATGACACCATCCTCTTGTATAAATCTATGTCGTCACATCCTGGACTTCAACAAAATAATATCAACAAAATTTTTAAGATAACTGTTGCTATTCATAGTAGGAGTTGTTCAAACTTTTACAGACATTGTAAACTATGAAATTTAAGAGTTAGATATATTATTCACTAGTAAATTTGGATATAAATGTTGATATACAAACATTTAGCGAACACACTCCTCTCCGCAAAAATCGCTTAATAGAAATTACAAATTGTTAAAGCCTCTGTGTGATCCAGACCTGATGATGTCTTTGTGCTTTTTTATGTAAGGGGAGACAATTGATTGGAATTCTTTATGAATTTTTTCAATGTCACGGTTCACTGCTTCCACAACTCCTGTCCCTGTCAGTAGCTGCTCCCTCTCTTCTCTGTTTATAAATAATACACAAAAAAATTATCATCATATGATAATTATTGATAATTAATGTCTAATCATCTTAATGAACAGGCCTAAAATCAATGACTGATATTTCAGCCAAATTCTATTACCAGGTATTAATAATACAGAATGGAACTATCTAGTGAAATCAATTAAGATTTGTATCGCAGAAATCCATTTCTATAAGAAAGAAAGAATATTTTCCCTGAAAGGGTACAGTGTTTTGACATGACAGCTACACAAATTCAAATAATTTTAATGAATTGCTGTCTAAATCTTACTTTGTCCAAAACATTGGTAAATCCACCGATTCTGGTAACACATCAAAGTAGCTTTTCCACTGGGACTTCTGGGCTTTGTATTCATGCATCATACAAATCAACAGTTCTGACCATCCACTCTCACTGTTAACAGGGTCTAAAACAGAGAAGATCTATATCTGTACAGCTCTACAACATGACATCTAGTTTTAATGTTGTCAGACAGAAACTCTTTGAAACACCCAACAATTTTATCCATCATTTGAAAGTGGTTTATACCAAGTATATGTAATACTGTATTATTTAACTTTAAAACATAATCAGATATTTTAAACAATGCAGGACAGATCAATTTTGAACAAAAAAAGTGAAGCATGCATGAGGAAAGGGATTATCTTGAGAACATGATACAATCATACATATGTACATATTGCAAGTATTGAGCATTAGAACTTAAACAATTTCCATTCTCTGCTCCATTTTTACATTTGCATTGATAAGAGCAGACAAGCTCTTGAAACCCTTTTGTGCTTAAAGCCTTTTAAATAAGATAACAAATGGCTTATTTATATCTTTATTAAAAAATTTGAGAAAGTTAAAGTTGCAATGTATGGTATCATGCAATATGTATGCTAAATACCATTTTACCTTTTTCAAGTAATTCTGAAATACTGCATGTTTTTGGATGAAGAAGAATTTTTCTGGAAATTTGAAAAAGACATTCTCCTTCTTTTATGTCACTAAGAGCCACCATGCCATTCTGAGCACAGGAGCCATCTGGTCCAATGGTTACCTACAATAATTTCAATAAATAACAATGACATAATCTTCTTAATTGTGCAATTTATTTTTACTTATTGAAAAATTACATGTGAGGCATTTGAATTCTCAATTTTATTGTTTATGATACATGTATAAGCAGTGTTTGTATTTCATGTAAAGTTATACTTTGGATACACCTTCATTGTACTTTAAGTTTTGCCATTCAGTCACTTTCAGTATAGACTTTCAATATTTGCTGAATGGCAGAACTTTATTCTGTGATTAGCATGACATGCTAGGCTGACAGCTACCCCTGCTTAATCTATAATCAACTAGTCTGTATTTTAATTATTTAACACAGACTAAAATTGTTTGAGTTATATTCAATATTATTGGAGGAAAAAACATTCGTACGAGAAAATTCGGTATAACACTATTCACAGCAGTATTTGAACTATTTCAAAGTTTACTACCTTTTCATTGAAAAAATTATCAGCATTAGAAGAAAACCACTTGAGAAATGCATCTGCCCTCTTTTTGCAGTTAGATTTATCATCTGCGTACACATTGTCATTTTTGTTTTGATCAAGATTTGGTGTATTTTCATCACGTGGTTTCTTTGCTGGAGTTGCCATTTTTAAATCTCCTTTAACCGAAGATTTCTGTTTATGAATATCTTTAACATCCTCAAAGCACAAACGACTGATATTGATTTAAAATATTTGTTTTGCACGTTTATGATTTAATATTAAATTCTTTAATATCAATCAAGCTTTATTTTGACGTTTATTTGTATTTGTTTGACAAATACGTTTACGTTTTTATCCGATTTAATTTAATTAGTCTTCAGGAATTTTTGCCTTCAGTGCGGAACTGCTTAGTTTACATAGCCAACCAAGAAGGCAAGCAGGAGCAAGGAATATAAGAGGGAGCAGACGACTGTTTCTCTCCAAATACTAATGTTTTGACGGACATAAACACAACATCATGTTCATTGTTAACAACCGACGGACAAGCGTGGTTTCAAATGCCACAGAATCTGTAGACTTTAGTGAAAACGCGCGTACTGGACCTTATTTAGAGGGAAACCTTAAACTGATTGGTACACTGTAAGTTTTCTTGTTGTTAAAGGTTTTAAACAATAAAAATTAAAGTATAAGGCGGTTACAACGTTTATATTCCCCAATTAGGTCTAATTTTTCTTTTATCTTATTTTGTGTTTTAAAAATTAGTCCTTTTACATAAATTCACTGCGCAAAATTAATTAATTAATTAACACATCAAAACATGAAAAAAATATCAACATTTGTAATGAATATAGAATCAGTAGTTTGGCTTTAAGGGAAAATTTTTTTATCATTTGTAGTACTTCAATGTTTTTAACTTGCATTTTGATGCAAACTCACATAATATGTTTTATATGGTGTGACTATTGGGGTGAGCGCTGTTGTACCCATCAAAAACTTATACACAACTTACATTTGTAATGTTGATCTGCCCTCTTAAACTGTATGAGGCACAGTATAAACTGTAATGGATAAAATATAGTATGGAGCAAGTGTAATTTTTAATTATAGATAAGATTACTTTTTTTGTTTCTTTTAAGTTTAGCATTCTGCAAGAACCAAATCTTCTTGATAACTCTGGACGTGTTATATTTACTATCATCACATTGATAACAAGTAGCAAAGGAATTAAAAAGATTACATTTGCATTGTTTTGATGAAACTTAAAAGTCTAATAACATTTCTTGCTATAAGTTCTCAAAAGTATTTTAAATCTCTGTATCAAAACATTAACATTGGATTCTTGACTATGAAATCTTTTTCCCAGTATATTTACAAAATGGCATAAATTACACTCTAAAAATATACTTTAATTGAAAAGAATGGCATCAATTTTATCATATTTGTGTGATTTTTTTGTGTATTTCATATTTTTTGTTTATTCAATGGATAAAATATAGTAAAATTGTAATGTTTTAACTCTCCCAGCCATACAATGTGTAACCAATGTATATTTATTGTTTGTGTTTAAAGTCAATTAAAAAAAAAAAAATTCATTCTCTGTGAGAAAGACTAATATTTCATGTTTCTTTCAATAACTGCATCATAAAGCACTACACAAGCTGCACACAAATTTAGTTAAACAAAGTATGTGTATTTTGTGTAGTTCTCCTCTGATTGATGATAGCTATTTGCAAGACAAACTATTGTCAATTCTTTATATTAATTAACCTAAATTATATATGATTAATGATAGATTTAGCACATAGATTATATAATTATGAAAGTTAGTATGTATAATGCATTTTTCCATGTCTGTATAGTACTGTCTTCTGCATTTACATGTCTTTGATTCTTGTTTGTAGTGACTGTAACACAGATGTGATGTGCTGTAGATTTAGTCCAGATGGACAACACTTAGCTGTGGGTCTAATTGATGGCTCTGTCAAGGTAGAAGCTTTATATTACTGTGTATTGTATGCTAGATTAGCCTTTTGTTATAAAATGTGTATGCATCCAGTAAATCGATGTTTTTTAATACAAGATTTCTTTTAAGCTGGTTGGATATGTCATGGTAATTAAATAGGCCAATAAGGAATGCATCTGTTAGAATGTACATGACAGTGCAGTCTTCTTGTACTCAAGTCTAGCAAAAACAATAAATCTACAACACTGTACAAGTTAGGGATATTTTATTGAAAATTTCCAAAATTTTCTAACTGTCAGATATTGTATTTTTCATTGATTATGTATTTCTTTAGCTTCATGGACATCTGTAAAGTTAATAGATGTTTCATCTTCTTTGCATTTTTATGAAGCTATTGTAGACCATTTAACTATGTACAATACCTTATCTTGTACTTATTGCTATGGATTGAAGTATTGCTTTAATTAGCATTCAGAAATAGTTATTGATTACTTGAGGGGGTGTCCCTCACTTTAACATCACAGCAACAGTGTCATTTGTTTAATGGGTTCATTAAATGAAAACAGCTATGAATATTTCATACAACCCTTGTGGGTTCTATGTACAATTGCTTTAAGAATTTTCAAGGCAGAAACAATTACTCACATTTTTTTTTCATCTTTCTAAGTGCAAAGCATGATTGATGAAGCCATACTTTATCAGCTGAATAAAAAATGTTTTTCAAACAGTAAATATACATGGCTATAATAAATATTTTATTAATATTTAAACTGCAGTTATTACGTCAATATGGATGGCATAATGCCATCCTCCTCAATAAATAAATGAAATGTTCCCAGAATATATACTAGAAGTTTTGTGCAAGTTGTAAACATGTCGCCATGTAAATATTTTTATTTTAATTAAAGTATCATCTTGTAAACTTGCCAGATGAAATTAATAAATAAACTTTTAAAATTATACTTTTCAATACATTGTAAAATTAAATTATAGTTTTGAGTTAAAGATAGATGCAAATTTGCTAAGTACATTGTAGTTCAGGTTTCATCGAAGTTTAAGAAATACAGGAGGATCATTACATGGTGTACTATGTTTTACTTTAGAGGCCAAATGTTGAAAACAAGCTAGAAAATATTCATAGATCTGTCAGTGCCATCTTTTAGATAAGAATTTAAATTTGGCCAGAGTGATGTGTTTATTGTTTCGGCTTGGGTGACTTTCTTTGGGATGTTTAAATAGGCTCGGAGATTAGTTTTCAGTCTGGACAACTTAATTACAAAATTAAATGCTTGGCAGACCCTTTAAGATCTTACTCTCCTGTCTGTTTGACTTCTTAAAGTTCACATAGATGTATCCTAATGCTTTTAAATCTATGCAAATTTAACATTCTAGATACACGTATTTAAAAAAAAAAATCCATAATTAAGGTTTGTAAACGGCAAAAAAAACTCTTTATATCATTTTAAGTGCAAAAATTCTATATGAAAATGGAAGAACTGTAATAGAAATCATTTAAAAGTTTCTATTATTTCTGAGTGGATTTAAAGTGGAGATTTTTCAATTTAGTTTTGAGAGGCTGCAGATATTTCATGTTTGAGAGTGTCCTTTAATGTAATTAGAGATGGAAACATTTTGACACCCTTTTAAACACAAGGCTAATTTAAGCTTGCTAAGGTTAATATTGATCCAGATCATAAGGTTTTTGTTATGTTGATCCACTAATATTGTCATATGTTAGGATTAGCTAGTGCTTTCATGCAACTCAAGTGTTTTAGTATTTTCCAAATTCTTTTTGCATTGGCCTTCTCTTGGGATACCATGGATTTTCTGTTAGGAAAAGACATTGTGAAATATTTTTACAGAAAAAAAACACGTAATAGCTATAACAGATGTTTGATATTGTGACCTAGTTTCAGTACGAGTCCAGAGAATGTTTTTTTTAATTTGGTGACAAGTGTAAGACGCAATTCTAGAAAAACCTTGCGTCTTCATTAGAGGTCCCAAACCAGAATTCCTTTACAAACATCCCAAGTCAACACTTATCTTGTAATTTGTCTTGTCAGACAGAACCAACTCCAGCACAATGTTGTCAGTAAAAATTTAAAGTTTTCAATAGCTGCTTACTTAACATAAATTACATTGATCAACCATTAAGCCCTTTTAATTTCGAATCTATGCAAATTTTTGTTGACATTGGAGAAATCTATGCTATAAATTGGCCCATGATTACAGTGAAAAATTGCTTTAATTCAGGAAAAATGTTTCCTGATTTACATATACAATTTTGAAACCTCTTTTTCTTTAAAACAAAGCATGCTTTAAGAGCATAATTTCAGCACCAGAACTGTGCTGAACACTGATTGCTTTGCTGGGACCAGCCAGTCATATGGTTACAATACCGGTACATCCATTGACAATGACTACCTTTTTGTCACGTAGGCACAGAAGAAATAGATCATTCAGATATTTGTTTGGCAATATGAATGCCCATTTATTAAGTAGAATATGAAAACTTATCAAAAATTTAAAACTGTTTTGACATATTTTAATCAATTCTTACCACACTCAAAGAGGAAATTTGAAGTTTCTATGTGATGCACAGATTTGTTATTTCATTTTTAACCTCAACGAAGTTGGGGGAGTTAAAATAACAAATGTCTATTGGCGTCCCAGGTTAAGTTTTTTGGACTTTTCTTTTTAACTAGTCCTATATGTGAATGCATGCATGATATAAACTTGTGTTTCATTGCACCATAAAGTTTCAGATGCTGCAATTTCAGCAAAGGAATGACCAGGTTAATGTTTTTGGAGCAAAATTTTTGGTGCATTTTTGGTTAGGTTTCATTTCAATGTAATTATAAGCCCTATTTTGACCAAACTTGCATGGATGATACATCTAAGGAATATATATATATCGGATGTATAATTTATTTTTTGTGAATTTAAAGTTTTTGGTGCAGGTTTCATTTCCAAGTAACTATAAGACCTATGTTGACCAAACTTGCATGGATGATACATCTAAGGATGCATACTATTGGGCTTGCTTCAGATGCTGAATCTGACCTACATTTTCCGGTTGAGTGAACAGGTTAAAGTTTTTGGTGTAGGTTTCATTTCCAAGTAACTATAAGACCTATGTTGACCAAACTTGCATGGATGATACATCTAAGGATGCATACTATTTGCTTCAGATATATATGACCTACTTTTCCGGTTGAGTGAACAGGTTAAAGTTTTTGGTGCAGGTTTCATTTCCAAGTAACTATAAGCCCTATGTTGACCAAACTTGCATGGATGATACATCTAAGGATGCATACTACCAGGCTTGCTTTGGATGCTGAATCTGACCTACATTTTCCGGTTGAGTGAACAGGTTAAAGTTTTTGGTGCAGGTTTCATTTCCAAGTAATTATAAGCCCTATGTTGACCAAACTTGCATGGATGATACATTAAGGAAATATTGCTTCGGATGCTGAATCTGACGTACATTTTCCGGTTGAGTGAATAGGTTAAAGTTAATGCATGATTCATTTCCAAGTATCTATGATTCTTTAATGACCAAACTTGCATGGATAATACATATAAGGACGCATACTACTGGGCTTGCTTCGGATGCTGAATCTGACCTACTTTTTGTGGATGAGTAAAAATGTTAGTTTTTGATGCATGTTTCATTTCCAATTAACTATGAGCCCTATAATGAGCAAACTTGCATGGACGATAAATCTTAGGATGCAAACTAATGGACTTGCTTCGGATGCTGAATTCGACATGCATTTTTCAGATAATAGACCAGGTAAAAGTTATGAGTGCAAATCTAATACCAAAAAACTATAAGGCTTACATAACATTGTATAAACCAAACTTGCACAAACGTTGCATCAAGAGATGAAAACTCTCAAATTTGCTTCAGATGCTGGATTTTAATTACATTTTCATGAAGAAGAACTAGTTTAAATTTTTTATGTAGGTCTGTTCAAAGTATCAGATCAAAATTTCTTAAATATTTTCATTTTTGGAATGTACACTTTTTGTTGGTTAATTGTGTGACTTTGCCTTACTTAAAGACAACATTCATTGAGGTGAGCTCTGTAATCTCTGATTACCTATGTTTAAAGAAGAAGTTAAAATAACAAATCTATACCTTGGACTTTCGATAGAATGTGATGCACTGATATAAACTTATACCATATAAGTGGAAATTTTAGCGAGACGCAAAATTTGGTATTTGATTTTTAGCAATGTAATTTTAGCTATTTTAAAACGCTCACTAAAGAACCTATAACAAATATATATATGTATAATTTATTTTTTGTGGATTTCAGTTTTAGCAATCTCAGCACCCTCAGACGCTAATAATGCCAAAATTAGATCCTTTCTAAAATTTCAGCTTATACGGTACTTTTATCCAAGGAGTCTTCATATAGTTCTGTTAATCAAATTCTCTTTTATTTGAATATGGAAAACTAAAAATACTCATTTCTAATATATATGCCACTGATTGTTTTTCAAAGAATACTTGTTAATGTACAACCCATGATGAACATTGGTTTTAATAGGTTAAACTCCACACTTCTCTTTGTTTGTCAGTAACACCCTCTATCAGAGGCATTAAATTAGTTTGCTACTTGTACAATGCCTTGAAATATTTATGCTACTATGTTGAATAATAATAATTGTATATTAAGATTTAATTAATTCTAAACAAAACATACTGTTTGCTTTGTCTGGCTACAAGGTGAACAAGAACAGCCTGCTGAGTGCATTGATTAAATGTTCCAAAATAGAGATCTGTAAAAAAAAAAAAAAAAAAAAAATAAAAAAGAAAAGAAAAAAAACATGTTGTACCATTTGAAGACCTCTCAGTTTAAAGCCATTTAAGAATGTTTTGGTCTTGGGCAATTTAAAAAAGAAAGATATCTTTGATAATTGCAACTCAATATGAAGCAGTTCAAGAATAAATCTATTATGCTGAGGTACATGTACTCTACATAAATGTATGTTCTCACACAGCTAGCATTGCTCATATTGCGGCATTTATCAAAATTTGACAGTCGGTAAATGAATACAACAATTGATTAATTTACAAAGGCTGTAATTTGAGTTAAAAGTACCAAGGATTTCAACAACTACTTCTTTAAATTGCTTAGATCATTTGATGTGTAGGTAAATAGAATTTCAGCTGATAGACAAAATGCGACTATTCGTTGATATAAACAGTAAATATTTTGATCTGCAGTTTTGAATCACAGCCATGTACAAACTAATACAAAAACTGTATAATATATAGATTTAATGGTTAAGTTTAATTTTAATTCCATTGAATATTCAATATTTTTCTTTATATGTTTGTTAATTGTGTTCATATTCTATAAAGCCTTATTTATGAGGTTCTTCAGTTTGGGAAAAACCTGCACAAATTTACATTCCTAGTAAAATATGCTATTTTTGAAAAATTAAAAAGTGTTATAAATAAAACACTTCATCAACTATTTTTCCTCTTCCTTTAGGACGACGGAAGGTAGTAATACTGAACTGTAGAGCCTGTATTGTGGGCTACTTACAATGCCTTTATTGTATGCCCTAAACATGACAAATAATATATAATTGTCTGTTGTATTTTACAGATCTACAGTCCTTTCACTTAAAAACCAGTGCCTCTAACTGTCAAACATCTGTTGTATTTTATAGATCTACAGTCCTTCCACATACCAGTGCCTACATACCAGTGCCTCTAACATCTGTTGTATTTTATAGATAACAGTCCTTCCACATACCAGTGCCTCTAACATCTGTTGTATTTTATAGATCAACAGTCCTTCTACATACCAGTGCCTCTAACATCTGTTGTATTTTATCGATCTACAGCCCTTCCAAATACCAGTGCCTCTTACTTCTGTTGTATTTTTATAGATCAACAGTCCTTCCACATACCAGTGCCTCTAACACTCGTTGTATTTTATAGATCTACAGTCCTTACACATACCAGTGCCTCTAACATCTGTTGTATTTTACAGATCAACAGTCCTTCCATATACTAGTGCCTTTAACATCTGTTGTATTTTATAGATCTACAGTCTTACACAATTACCAGTGCCTCCAACATCTGTTGTATTTTATAGATCTACAGCCCTTCCACATACCAGTGCCTTTAACATCTGTTGTATTTATAGATAACAGTCCTTCCACATACCAGTGCCTCTAACATCTGTTGTATTGTACAGATCTACAGTCCTTCCACATACCAGTGCCTCTAACATCTGCTGTATTTTATAGATCTACAGTCCTTCCACATACCAGTGCCTCTACAGTCTCCAGGACACAGATACTCAGAAGAAACATCTGCCTGTTACTCAGATTCGATTCCGACTATACTCATCCGATGAAAAACCCGAGTATTCACACATTCTTATTGCCTCATGTAAGTCTTAAGATCCTCCAGACCAAAGACTTATTAAGATTTTAGTCTATCCAGAACCATGCTTGAGGTATGACATTAGAGAAAATTGCATATTTTTAGTTTTCAATATGCAAGGATAAAATTTGACAGTTCTGTCTTCTTTTTGTGCCCAGCAGGTAATTTTTACTCTTAGAAGGCCATTTTAAGTATATTTCGAAGTTGTTTGGAAGATTTATTGATTTGAAATTTGAGCAGCAAACATTTTTTCCTTTATAATTTTATAGATACATATAATCACATTTTGAATTATTAAGACACCTTTATATTTAAGTGTAATATAATTACATACAGTAAATCCTATTTTTAAAAATGAAATTTAACATGTAACATGGGTGGGCATTGAAAAAGGCATTATTCGTATCAGAGAGGGTAAAATTTTAATCTGGCGACAGCCCACAATCATTTTTCAACCAGTCTATTGTCAGTAAGAAAAAAAATTAATTAAAGGGTGTGAAAATTTGTTATATGTCTTTGTATTAAAAAAAATCCAGGATGTATTGCTCTTATGATTTAATTACTGTGACAGTCTGACATATCTATTTAATCATGAACTTTTTTGTCTTGATAATTACACTCACTTTTTATATACATAGCTGCTTAATTTGAATTCTTTCACGGCTTTTCCTTACTTTAATCTTTAATTTCTTTTGAATTTATATACATAGTGAAGGACAGTTTACTTTATACTTGGCATACACATTTCACAAATGAAGGTTATGAAGTTCAAAGTTTTAATAATTGTCAAAAGAAATCTTACACAAACTTTTGATGTATATATATACATATACATTACTCCAATTTTGGTAAACAAAAAATCGTCAATTTTTCAACTCGTCAAAATAACCACGTTTACAGTATCTATTTAATCATGAACTTTTTTGTCTTAATAATTACACTCACTTTTTAGCTGCTTAATTTGAATTCTTGCAGATCCTTACTTTAATCTTTGAACTTATATACTTAAGGACAGTGACTTTATACTTGGCATACACATTTCACAAATGAAGGTTATGAAGTTCAAAGTTTTAATAATTGTCAAAAGAAATCTTACACAAACTTTTGATGTATATATATATATACATATACATGTAATATTTTTATCATGTGATAAAATTTTGCAGATGCATCAGGTTTAGTCAAATTTTGGCATTACACATCAGGGAAATGTCTGCATACGATCAACGAAGTCCGACAAACACTAAATCTAGCTCTAAGTCCAGACGGCAGCAGATTTCTGACTACCGGTGACAGTCCACAAATCCATGTGTACGACGAAGACACAAAAAAGAGGATCAATACGCTGGAACCAAGGTATGCAAAATAATTGCAATACAAAAGGAAAAATATTAACCTCCCCCCTTCGGCAAGAAAAAGTAGTTTTGAAAATAATTCTCTCGTTCTCCATTCCCAATCACTCATCATGCAAAAGATATTTCAATATGTTATTTTCATAAAATTTTTTTTTGTAAAAATATACTTTACACAATGCTTTTCAAGATTTTCTAACAGATGTTTATAATTAACATAATTATCTCTTTATTCCCAAGAAAAAAAGAATCCTTTTAGTTTGTTGACTTTTTTAATTTTAAATTAGTACGAAAAATTTGAGATATATGTTTTGCAGTGATTCTCGAGATAAGATGGATGGTCATCATTTCCGAGTGTTTGCAGCCCAGTATCATCCTAACTTCCCTCACGTCTTCATCTCAGGAGGCTGGGATAACACAGTGCATGTGAGTGTCAGTTTATTGGAGAAATTTAAATCATATTTTACTAGGAAATACTTGATTTAGATAATTGAAAATATATAATAAAATATTTCTGTCTTAAATGTACTTTGATCAAGTATGTACTTTCTTGTACAGTAATATCTGAACCAAAACATATTTATTTATTCATTAAAAGCTATTTTGATCAAAGTTTTATATTAATAAGTTATTTAATTACTAGTACTATATTTGACATCATTCCATTCTGCCATAGACGTGTAACATTGAAATCAAAGCTTTATATTAAATTATGATACAGTTTAATTAATTTATTAAAATAATTCTCTCTCATTTCAGTTTTGGGACGATCGACAAAAACAGTCAATAAGGTAAGCATATCCTTCAGTAGTTTGTGTAGAGTGCTGATAAAAGCAATTTCAATCTAATTCTTCATCATTCAAAGCTAAAAGTGTTGAAATAGATGGTTCTTATGTTGTGGTTAGTAGACCACTCATCTGGTTGTCATAATTCTGTTATACCATATAAGTAGAATTTTTAGTAAGGATTTAATTTTGGCATTATTAACGAGGGTGCTAAGATCGCTAAAATTGAATACTGTAGATGTACTTTTTACCACAGGGTCATAATTCATCGGAATCTCATTTTCTGTTTAATCTGCGGGGAGAAAATTACGTGGATTTTCTCGACTGTAACTATATGTCTTACATTTATATTAAGTACACTTGGACAAATTTCCACGTAAAATCTGTGACCGTGTACATAGCGTAAATTAATACCACACGGAAAAAAGTACTTCTACAGTATTGCTAAATTTTAATTGCATTTTATTTGTAATGGCTTCTTAATTGAGCATTTTATAATCGCTAAAATTACTTATCTTAAAAATAAAATATCAATTTTTGTGGATATTTCACTCAATTTCCGTCTCGCTAAAATTTTCACTTATACGGTATATAGTTCTATACATGTATATTATAAATCAGTTCCCTTAGACTGATTAGTGGACCACACACTGTTGTCATCATTCTGTTATATTTCTATATGTTATAAATTAGTTTCCCTTTAGATTATTAGTGTAGCTTACATATGTAGTGCTCATTCTGTTTTAATTCTATATGTTTATTCCCTTCCAGACTGATCAGTGGACCACACATCTGTGGGGAAGCCTTAGACATCGACCCAATTCACAACCACATCCTAACCGGGTCCTGGAGGAAAACCGACGTACTTCAGGTACATATGACAATAACTAGTTATGATGTAATTATATTCACACTCAGTGTCTAAGTTCATATCGATCGCAATGGAGCAGACTTTTACTGGCTTAAGGCTGATGTTAGGATTTGCCTAAAAAAAGGTCATTTTGATAACAAATAGTATAAAATTTAGATTCATCTTTTGAAATAATTACTCATTGAAATGAAGTTTGCATTACACTGTAGATCTGGGATTTTGCTAGTGCTGAGAAAATAAAGGATGTTCCTCCAGAGCCTATGAATGACAGTTTGGTGAGATCATTACTTGTACATGATGTATATGAAATTCTTATATAGATGTCAGAGCTGTTGTGCATTCTGTTATTTCAATGTATGACTTACAATATAACACATACTGTATGTGTACATAATTTGGTGTATTCAAAATTTAGCGCAATCAATGGATATGGGGTTGTTGGTGTAATCATGAATTACTGCTACACATGTTCATGCTGTATATTTTATTTGAAAATAAAGTCTTAGCGGTATTCAAGAATTAATGCATCCTAAAGTTGTTTGCGCAAAAGCCACTAAAATATGAAGCCCGCTATTTTAAGTACACATACAGGATATTTTTCTGTATCAATTGACAAGTGATACAGTAAATGTATTAAGTGGTCCATTTAGGTGTTACAATGTGATTTAAGGTTCATCGTTACTCTGATAAGAGAGATAACTCTTAGTTATAAATTAATCAAGTTCAGTTTTCTCTTTTGACTACCTGGTAATTTGGCCACACAAGCTGTGCTAAAACTGTTTGCATTTTACTTATAGAAAACATTTGTTTTTGAAAATCATTTGTGTTAAAGCAACATTTTATATGAGTGAGCAAAAAGATTAAGAACCTTTATATAAAGTGACAATACATGTATAACTACGTTGTTACATTTGTTTGCAGCTATACTGTTGCCAATGGCTGGGAAAGGAAAACATCATTTGTGGAGGATCGGACATGAACATGGCCAGAGTTATTGATAGGGGAACATTAAATGTAAGTACCATGTAGAACTGATAGGGGAACATTAAATGTAAGTACCATGTAGAAATGATAGGGGAACATTAAATGTAAGTACCATGTAGAACTGATAGGGGAACATTAAATGTAAGTACCACTAAAGAACTGATAAGGGAACATTAAATGTAAGCACCATGTAGAACTGATAATGAACATTAAATGGAAGTACTAGGGCTGGGCAATAATATCGATATTTCAATATATTGCAATACAAAGACAAAAAATATCGTACCGCAATACGATTTTGTAATATCGATATATTGGCAATATACTTAGATTAAGGAATTTTTGACATCAAAATGATTAAATATAAAAAAAGGACATGAAAGTTTGTTATTAAGACAAACAGTAAGACAGAAGTTGTTTTGTGGGAACATTTAAGAGCATAACTTAAATGAAATCAACAAGATTTTTTTTTCTTCGTGTTGGTTACTTATCACAGTTATGTAAATTCTGAATGTAAATTAAAGTACATATAGTAAGAAAATGCCATTTTTTACATTGAAAATATTGCAATACATATCGCAATACGGTTAAAAATATCGCAATATATCGCAATACGAAATCTCTTTCCAATACCCAGCCCTAGGAAGTACCATGTAGAAATGATAGGGGAACATTAAATGTAAGTACCATGTAGAACTGATAGGGGAACATTAAATGTAAGTACCATGTAGAACATTAAATGTAAGTACCATGTAGAACTGGAACATTAAATGTAAGGACAATATAGAAATGATAGGGGAACATTAAATGTACGTAAGTACCATGTAGAACTGATAGGAGAACATTAAATGTACGTAAGTACCATGTAGAAATGATAGGGGAACATTAAATGTAAGTACCATGTAGAAATCATAGGGGAACATTAAATGTAAGTACCATGTAGAACTGATAGGGGAACATTAAATGTAAGTACCATGTAGAACTGATAGGGGAACATTAAATGTAAGTACCATGTAGAACTGATAGGAGAACATTAAATGTAAGTACCATGTAGAACTGATAGGGGAACATTAAATGTAAGTACCATGTAGAAATGATAGGGGAACATTAAATGTAAGTACCATGTAGAACTGATAGGGGAACATTAAATGTAAGGACAATATAGAACTGATAGGGGAACATTAAATGTACATAAGTACCATATAGAACTGATAGGAGAACATTAAATGTAAGTATAATACAGAAATAATAGGGGAACATTAACTGTAAGTACAGTGGACCTTCAGATATCCGGACCCCAGATATCTGGATGCTTCAGTATCCGGACACTTTTTCATCGGGACGGAATTTTTAAATGTTATATTGTTTTGTTTAACTGGTGATTCAGGTATCCGGATGCTTCACATATCTGGACAAATTGACTAGGAACCAAAGTGTCCGGATAAATGAGGCTCCACTGTACCATGTAGATATGATAGGTGAACATTATACAATTATTGACTTTTGAATTTGGTCTACTCGTGACTATAAGGACCGTTTTATTAAATGATCAGGAATTTTACAACACTTTTGACACTTTGTTCTTGTCTCCATCAAATGTAAACACTCATAATAAAATGCAAAGTGTAACAACACTTTTCACATATTGTTATACTTCAACAGCTTAACATCTAGTAGTTAAAGATGTAAAACAGTATTATTAAATAAACAATAAATACTCAACCATTTTCTTTCAAAAGCGTTTAAATGCCTTGGAACTGGTGTCTGACATATTTACATTCACACCGACACATGCTTTGAAATACGCAATCTGATTGGTCGAAAAAGCTGTAAGCAAATATATGGTTGGTCAAGAGGGAAAAACCAAATAAACCTCATATGAGGTGAACTCACTCTGAGGTACATCTCAGGAAAAGGCGTCTAGACCAATCAGAGAGCACCAAAATTCCTGATCATTTAATAATAAAAGTACCATGTAGAACTGATAGGGAATCATTAAATGTAAGTATTGCATGGAACTGACAAGGAAACTTAACTCATTTAGAACTGATAACAGAATATCAAATGTAAGTACCATATGAAGCTATTATTAAGAGAACATTAAATATATGTAACATGTAGCATTATGGTTTTATAAATTATTATTTGACCATAACGCTACAGATCCTGTAATGCAAAAAATGTGCAATTTATGGCACAAGATTTTTTGCGCACTGTTTTCTCCACTTTTCAACATTAATAAATCATCTTCCTTTCCCTGTATAATTATAGAAGTAGCAATGGTTTTATTGGGAGCAGTTTTCATATTTTTTCAGTAAATTGATAGATGGTTTCTTTTTGATATTCATTTTATATAGTGTAATATTAATAGCAGAAGTATGATAACACAATCTTCAAAAGACTCTATATATTTATAAAGTTGAGGAATTAAAATAATTAATTTCATTGCAGACAACTGGGCATTTATGTGAACTTCCACAGGGCGTATATTGCATCGATAATGATGGCCATGGCAACAGCCCCCTGGTGGCCATAGGAAGTAGCAACAATATTTATCTGGTGCGCAGTGAAAAGAAAATCAGCTAAAACTCAGTTCTATGGTTTATTTACATGTATCCAACATGTTATGACATTCAGGTGATATTTGAACATAAACTTGATGATTTTGAAATGATATTGAGCATTTTATTAATGTGATACACCTTGTAAACATGTAAAAATATAACTTTTTACTGTATTGGTTATGTACATGATTCTTTTTCTTTATACCATTAAAATTTATTTGTATATAAAAATTGATATTTTTATATTGTCTGTATACATTTAAATGCTCCCCCTCAACTTGAGGGGAGTATCAAAATGAGCCATCAACTTTTCAATAGAGAATAACATGTAAGATGAACAATCTAGAACTTGGTCCATTGTCATGCATTCAACTTTATGTAATGTAATACCTGTAAATATCCTCTCCATACAAGAAGGATTCTTTTATATGGTAACTTTTGTTCAGACTGGCCCATTGGTACATTAGATGAAGTATAAAATTTGAAAAGTTAAAAGATACACTGACAGATGAACATGACAAAATTAGATCAAAAAAGCTTTCTTGAGCTCTCAACTTGGGTGGGCCTAAAAGATTGGCATATTCAAATTATATCAAACATAGGTGAAAGTATCTTGATGGTGTAACTATATTCTGTTAATCTACAATTTTGTCCCCTTATCTAAATTTAATGGGGTATGGCCATCAGGTGTTACAGGTTCGAGACCAGATCGTTTTTGACGAGAAGTATTTCTAAATGTATTTATCTCTTCATAACCTTCTCCTTCAACTCTTCTTGAAGTAGATTCCACATCACTTATTGTGTATGTTCTCATTTTCTTCTTCCTTAAATATAAAAAAAAAAGAAGATTTTTCAAGCTCCATCTTTCAAAATTCCAACAAAAAATGTTTATAATTTGTTTTACATTTAGATAGAAAATATACTCACTTTCTATAGTATACAAAACCCAGAATTGCGATGATTATAAATAATACTACTAGTGGTCCCAACACCCCTGCCAATATGCGAGTATCCATTTGGGAACGTTCACCTGGAAGAAACCTGCGGGTAACTCTCTCATTGGGGTCGGGGTTTTTAGTAGTTGTTCTAGTTGTTTTGCTGGTCCTATAAGTAACATTTGGTAGTGATGGATACCTAGGACTCTTGAAGGTGAAGGTGTCTTTTCCTGGCATTTTGGGTGACTCCCTGTTAAACCCTAAAGTTGTAGACTTGAATTGGAATTTGGTGTTAGTTCTACTAGTTTTCCCGTGTTCCATTTTTGTAGGTTGTAATGTAGGGAACTCATCATCGTCAATGTCACCTGAATTTAATCCAGATTCTGAACTCATCCCAGATTCTTCAGAGGTATTTTCTTCCGCTGTTTGATAGATGGAAACTCTTTGATCTGTACCCTGTTCTGTGGTCTCAGCAAAGTTTCCTGAGGAATCAATATTCAATGTGGACCAAACACCAGTTTCTAATAATTCTTCCGAATCTGACTCCAAAGACACGAGTGGGGACATGGTTTGTATTTTAGAAACAAAATTTCCATTTTCTGCTTCAGAAGATTTCATGATGGGCTTGATTGTGACGGAATTAGAAGCTACTTCCCTGTTTAGCAAAGTTGGTATAGATTCTGTGACCATTCCTTCCAATAAACTAGAGGAATTTTCTTTTGCCTCATTCCAACCAATGGTCTTCGGAGATTCAGTGGATAATTCAGGCAAATTTTCAGAAGAGGGTTCAATTTTTTCATCTAAGGATATGGTTCCATGCTGCAATTCATTAAATTTGTTTATAAATTCAGTGGTAATGCCTTTGACTAAATGTGTCGTCTTGTTGTTAAGAACTGTTGTTGACTCCATGGAACCTTGCTGAAAGTCTGTATTAGTAGTTTCAGGTACGTTTTCAGACAAAGCTGATGTTAATAATGAGAATTTCTTGAACTCTGGGGATAATTCTGTTGTCGTAACCTCGTTTTGATTATCTGAAAGTTTGTCTTCTATAGCTTTTTCATTTTTGGACCAGGCTGTGTCCGTTGCAGCTATAACTTTGGTTACCGAGTTAATTTTAGGTTCGGTGACTTGAATGATAGGCGCTGAAGAATGTTCTATTGGCTCAGTCCTGCTAGTATCCCCTATAAAGGGCATGGGTGTTGATTTACCTGACGATCGAAGCAAATTTGCAGTAGAGGATTCTTGTGCTTTATAAATACCGGTATCACTTGTAGGCATGGTTGCAGTTGAAAGTATTCTCAAGTTTTTGTTTGAATCATCAATGATGCTGTTCACTGTAGACATGTCCAAAAATTCTGTATTTATTGTTGATTCATCAATGGCGCTATTTACTATAGACATATCCAAAGATTCTGTGTTAATTGTTAATTCATCAATGGTGCTATTCACTGTAGACCTGTCCATAAATTTTGTGTTTATCGTTGATTCATCAATGGTGCTATTCACTGTAGACATGTCCAAAGATGCTGTGTTTGTTGTTGAATCATCAATGATGCTATTCACTGTAGACATGTCCAAAGATGCTGTGTTTGTTGTTGAATCATCAATGATGCTATTCACTGTAGACATGTCCAAAGATTCCGTGAAATGCTCTTCCGCATCTGAGGAATGCGGCATCTCTAATGAATCAGTTATTTCCGAGTGCAAAGTAGAAGTTTCAAGTGAAAATTCAGTCGTTTTCATATTGTTCGTCGCAGCAAGTTCACTGGTGTTCAGACGTAGCACAGAGAGCAATCATGGGTCTTCGGATGGTAATATTTCGTTTAGTCTAATGAAATGTAAATGCAGAAAATCTACTTCAAGAAGTCGTCACTACTTTTACAGCTTTTATATTATTAAGCAGGATTTTTGAGAATATACTGAGGAACGGCGATAAGACCATTTTGCCGGTCGGATATAGTGATAAAATGCGGATGTCCGCTGTTCTGGAAAAAGGGATATTTTTTTTTATTGTTTATTGTCTGATATTATTTACAAACAAAATGGAGACAAGACAAAGAGACAGCTTTATAAATGTTGTTTTAAGTAAAAAAAATAAGTTTTGTTGAGATTTTGACCTCTCAGCTACATCCTCTACAGTTTTAACAGGAAAGAGGATATGCACGCATATGTATCTGTAGAATAATAATTTCTTTGAACAGGAATAACAAAAAAGTGTAATAATACAACGTTTTAGACGCCATACCCAAAAATAATTTTACATTTCTTAGTGTTATGTTTAGCTCTGTGTAAAAATTGTTTTGGTATTTAACACGATCATTATAAATGAAAGAATTAAAATTTTTATGGGGTCAGTCTAATGTATAGATATGTTTTTTTTATGACTGGAAGCAATTTATTTTATTTCTCATCATTACCAACATAAAAAACTCCCAAACACATTTTTGAAATACGGAACGTTCTCTCTATCTTGAAATTTGTTTCTTTTTTTCTGACTTAACTGATTTCATTTAAATAAGAAGAAAAAATTGTCTATGTCACTGCTTCTGGAAGTTACTATTTTCAAAATATTTTATAAGTATGGGAGAAAAAAAAAACTTTGTTGAGATTATAAGTTTCTGAACTTTTCATGGCGAGTAGAAGTCACAAATATTGTTTATACAAAATAAAATTTACAGTACTAATCCTACTCACCATTTAGATATACGTGTACATGTATCAGCGACGGTTTATTTATCTATTAACAATAGGTCATTTACATGTCGACTCAATATATCCATATGAACTTGAAATTAAACAAATAGAGGGTCTGTTTCATAATTGGATGTTTTATTGACTATAAACATAATATCAAACTAATTACTATACTGCGTGACAAATGGGATGGCTTCTTTTCCGTCTTCAATTTCCTTAATTATGTTCCCCAAACGAAGTTGGGGAACATATTGTTTTTACTCTGTTTCTTATTATTATTATTATTTTTCTTCCTGGGAAAATTTTGTCCGCGAGTGATCTTGTAAACTATACATCCGACTTAGGTAAAACCTTTTTAGGGTCACTAGGGATGTTATGTAGATTTGCCGAACGAAGGTCATTTTGCGCGCACGTGCTTGCAAGAGCAAGCACGTGCAACACGTTAAATGGCAAATATAAGGTATATTGACTAAACTTTTCTATTTTTTGATGAAATGGTTTGAAACTCATAATGTAAGGATATATTAGTAGTATAGACAAGATGCATGGTCAAAATAGCAAGATCTCACGCGCATGCACGTGCGCTTTGCTCTGATTGGCTGAAACTTAAGTCTCAATATTTTTCTTGTTTTTTGACGAAATCCTTTGAAATTTTTATCATAGCTTTGCATTACGATATCCTACAACATGATATATAGCAATTATCATGAAAACACGTGTATGCACGTGCGTTGCAATCTGATTGGCTGAAACTTTAAATAGCTATAACTCCCTTGGTTTTCAACCAAACAGGATGGGATTTGGAACATAGATATATATAACAGACTTCGACAAGATGGTATGGTCACCATGCACATCCATGAACGTGTGTGTACGTGCGATGCAATCTGATTTGCTGAAACTTTAAACAGTTATAACTCCCTTGCTTTTCACCCAAACGGGGTGGGATTTAGACCGTAGATAGATGTAATTGACTTCTACAAGAAGGTATGGTCACCATGCTAATATATGCACGTGCGTGCACGTGAAATGAGTAAAATCAAAAATACATTTGAATGAGCGTATTTTTAATGATTTTGGATTAAATACATTAATATTTAGTGTATTAAAATATATAGATTGTGTAGACAAGATGATATAGTCATTACGCAAATGCATTCACATGCGCATGCGTGCAATGCTAAAATTTGAATGAAATTGGTACACTTCTGGGTTTACTAAACGTTGTTAAAACCTCAAATGCATAGAATTTGTCTTATTTAATGAAGCTTACAGGGAATATGGCACCAAAAGGGAATTGGGGAGCGTTTGGGGAACATCCGTAACGGTCTCCGTTACAATTAGCACTAGTTTATTTAGTAGTGTTCCATCATCATCTCCATATGGTGCCCATATACGATCAGTTTTTAAACTGACAGATAAGTTGATGTCACCTGCATTTCATCAACCCTGCTCAAGCTCAGCTTTTTTTTTTTAAATTATACTCTTATTATACAGCAGTGACAAAATTGAGAACATAACTCTATGAAAAATAAATTTCAAATACTTATATGACAGTATATACATAATCACCTGCATATGGAGTTATCTCTATATGACAATACATATATACCTAATCTCGCGCATATGGAATTATCTATCGAAGTAAATTCGATACCCAAGAGAATGTTCTATTACGAGCAATTTGTAAAACGATACTAGATATAATTGTAAAATAAGTTAAAATTGTTACAAACAAATCAACAGTTTTGTTTAAATTCAAAATTCTGCAGTTTTATGGTCGATACAATGACCGTGATTGCCAAAACAATCTGCCATTTAGTTGAATGTTAACTAACTTTTTAATATCCATTTTTAGACCATTATTTTCACTTTATATTGTCTACGAACTTTTTGTTTACGAGATAATAACAAAAAGTACAGAAGGTGTGATTTGTGGGCATGGGATGTTTGCTCCTTTATGGCCTCTGTTCCCACTTTGTCATCAGAGATCTGTCAAGGCTCTACTAATACTTTGTATTGTTTAAATAAACTTTTGAGAATAATTACTGTTTATTATCTACACATTTTATTTAAAATCATTGAAATTCGAATATTTTATGCAAGCTGAATTTATTCATAGTGTGAAATATACAAAATGTTATTGAATATACACTCTTAAAGCTTCTTCCGACGAGGTAATAGCTACAGTGCTACCTAAGTACTTATAAATGTATATTGAAAAGCAAGGTAAGTTAATTGAAATAGCCTCCTTAGTGACCCTTTTTGTTTATGGTTTAAAACCTACACAATAACAATTATTTTCTGAAAATCGGACACTAATTAACTAAATCTAAAAAATAACTATAATTGCGTAAACTCAAACATTTTAGTGTAAAATAATATTTAGACTGTATGACTGAAGCTTGGTCCGTGTAACACTTAACAATTCAAATTTCTGAAATTATTTTGAGTTTTAGAATGTTGACCGAAGCTTAAACGTTCCACCAATTTTCAATATATGCAGCTTATGAAGTCTGTAAGCCCATTAGTTATGAAAGAGCTGTTTCGCAGACATAAGATTTTACTGTAAATCACTTTTTATTCGCGAGAACTTTATTTTCGCGTAATTACGCGAGACAGTGAGCACGCGAAAATTTCATTCTCGCGTATAATAGTATTCCGTAAGATTATATAGAGAAATATTATCAATTCTTGAAAATTATGTCTCGCTTATAAAGAGTCAATGACTATCTCGCGAAAATAAGATGTCGCGAAAATATAGTGATCTACAGTATTTCATTGTTAGTAAACGAATGACAGGATAGCTCCAGCCTATTGTCATTCTTAACAAAACACATCATTTATTTTTAGAATTATTTTGAGAAAATGGAGAGAAAAGATCAAGTCTTTGAAATATGTAAAAAATGTTCCTATGACAAACATAGCATATGTAGCTTGCTTATTTTACTTGTCTTCCCCGTTGTTGAAAATGGTTTTTTGCAAATAGGAATTCAAAAGACCAAAAGGTATACAAATTAAGGGCCAAGATTTCAGAGTCAGTTATCTTAAGATGTAATTTCGAAAAGACCCTTTGCTAAACAATCATCTTAATTTTTTTTTAATCTTGTGCATTTCAAATTCGTTCTGCACAACTTTTACCCAACAAAACAGGAAATCTTCCTGAGTGTTAACGTTAAAAAAAGGTCGGAAGCGATTATCCAACTTGACATAAATTTTACCATTTAAAACTTCCTTGTTGGCCAAAGGAAAGTATTGAAAAAAAATCGTCTTCATTTTTCTTAATTTTAGAGACTCTAATAAAAATTTGACACATTCAAAAACTCAAATTATTAACATAGAACACATGTTGCTTTATAAAAAGAATTCTTCAATGTAAGTGATTAATTATGAATAATAAACTAAACGGTTGGAGAAAAAAATATGGAGATAATTCAAGCTCAAAAGTCCATTAAATAATACAAATTTGGAGTAGAGCAAACAAGGATTTCTCCAACATCAGAGGTGGGATCAGGTGCCATGGAGAATAAGCTTCCCCTACCGACCGGCCACTCGCGCCGTGTGCTTCTTATTACGATCGGGAAATAATGGAAAAATCCATCGACAATTCAGTGCGTCATTTATGGCCTAAGTATTAATATGAAAAACGTCAGTCAGCATTTTACTTAATGATGGATTGTATTTGCAAACACGGTCCTGACAAAAACACATACCGTAGATATTGTCAATCAGAAACTCAAGCATCTCTTTAATATAGTCACCAGAGTACTTGATGTGTTTACAATCAGAGTGATATTTAATAAACTAGTTTTACAAAGGTAATTTTATTTATGATTTCCGTTTTATTGAAAAAGGAGCTGTAAGTGATAAAAATGTCTAGATCTGGACCTTAATTTTTCATGGGGAATGTTTGTATATAATAATAAAGTTGAAAAGTAACAAGTTTTTATGTTAATTTTGTGGAGAAAAAAAGTGATTTCAAATTTCCAAAAGTTCCGTGGAATTTTTAACCATCAACATCTGATTTACAACACTTCTCGAATACATGCATATCTGAACAGTACGCCCGAAGTTTCTTTTAAAACTGTTATATTATACGTAGTCAGGCTTGGTAGAACATTTACTGGAACCCGCTATGTATCTTTGTTTGTAAGGTTATTTTTAAGGTTCGGAATCCAATATACCGGTAGATGGGGTGATTCAAATTCATTTTGGTTGTTGGAAATAAAAAAAAAATTATATCTGACATATGATTTTGAAGAAATTCCTCCTTAGAAAGGGAGCTATGGGTAAATCTTGGATTACCACTTGTAGAAT